CCTGCTTAGACTCTTGGCACTCTTAGGTGAGCAGACTTAGTCAGCCTGTGTTGCCCTAACAGGTGCCCTTATGCCCTCAATACATACATGGAACAAATGTATTACTAACTAGTAGTAATACATGCATGTAGCAAAAGGGATGAGGAGAAGGGTGGCCTACAGCCACCTGCTATGTGTCAGTCCATTGGATGATCATGATTGCCTCACAGAGGCGATCCTACCTAGAAAGGAAAGGATGCGGTTGTATATGGACCCTTACACTATGAGAAGACAACAGAAGAGGAAGAACCAACCCTATACACAGCCTTAGGTAATTATAGATGGAGTTAGGATAGTTAGTCTGAAAACTTGCTGATCCACCTCAGATTGCCCAGTTCCTTCATCATGGTAAGCACCATAACATTGACTGCATTACTCAAAGTTGCTAAACTTGTCATGTAGGGCCATGCAAAGATGACTAAAATTTGCCGAGGTGAAGTGCATCCTTAATCCCAAAGATGTGAGATTGTGAGCATTAGACAGTGTCCTTTGAGTACTCCCTAACTCCATGCATAGAGTGGAAAACAAAGTCAAGGAGAAACAGAAAATTGGGACAATGGGAGGGGTAGGGAGTGTGGGGAGGGATTGCCAAGGGCAGGTCATGGCCGCAGGTGAGGGGGAAGCCAAGTGCACATGCCGCATCGGCAGGCAGCCTGAGAGCATGAGGGAGTTTGATGTGGGATGCAGGGGTTGGTCAGGGAAGAGGTGAGGCAGATGGGGTTGGTGTGTGGTTGAGCATTGTGGGTTGTTGCACAGAGGATAGCAGGTTGAGTTCTGGCCCCAGCATAGCAATTCACAGGTATCTATGTACACCAGTTTACTAAACTCCTTGTCCTGAATGGACTCCTCAAACTCTTCATAGGAGAATGTGTGGGCAGCAGTTTTGCCTCTGTGGTGAACAACCCCACCAGAGGTGGGGTGTGTCAGGCTGGTATTCCCATGGTCATTTTTGGCCCTTAGAGACCGTTGCACAGCACTACAGACCCTCACTATGCAGGACAATGCACCCCAGCAACAAGTCTCAACTCTCTGGATATTTGGCATGATGACTACAAGGTCTCCCCAGGCAACAGGACCACCCAGATATTTGGCATGATGACTGCAGGTTTCCTCCGCAATGGGATCAACCCATATGGATATTTGGCATGCCAACACCTGCCTTGGAGAGGAATCTGGAGACCAGATTAGTATTGAGTATAGTTTAGAGTAGCTAGTATAAGTAGTTTCCAGAAACTCCTGTATCTAGCTTATTCTGCCCCTTTTCTGTTAGCATTATATGGATCCGATTATCCCCTTACTGGATAGGCAGCATTGACTTGACTTACCAGATTTTACTTGACTTATCATGACCTGACTGGACAGACACCAAGCTCCAATTATTGCATACTGAGTTTCAATAGCTCAGCTACAGGCTGACTCCTGTGTTCCTACCAACTTTCCCCCTCTCTCCCCTCTGTCCCTAGTGAGTTCTTGCACACCACCCATTGGACCAATATTTCAGACACCTTTTGGGTCAGATCAGTGGTAGATGCATTCCCTGAAGGCACTTTGGTAGAGTGGGCCAAGCTGTTGGCTGGTGATCTTGCACCAGGCAAAGTGGGTCTTGTATGCCTGTTTGAGGACCACTTCATTGGCAGGGATAACCCTGGCAAAGTTGTCCCAGTCCTTGCTGATCTGATTGGGACAAATGAGGTTGATGAGCATGAGGCGGAGGACATTTAGCAGTTCATGCTGGTGGATGATGTTGAGCTTTCTGTGATCCTGTGGTTGAGTCAGTGAGGTTTGGCAGCAGTGAGTATGTGGGCATACAAAAATGTACTGCATTGGCAATGTCTGCTCTCAGGAGGTCATTTTTGGCCTTCACAGTGGCAATGTTCGTGTTTCCCTCTACAACCATACTCCTCAATTGTGCCATGTCCACCTGGTGACAAGGTCACGCAGTGTCTGGTTGCCAACTGTCAGCATGCTCTTTTCAGAAATGAACGTGTTGACCTCTTCAACCTTGTTGTCATAGTCTTGCCAGCTCTACCCACGGGTCAGGGTCGGAATGCAGGATTTGATCGGAATAGGGACTTCTCTTATCTTTACCTTACACCTTACACTACACCCTTAAAACCAGCCAATCTTTACTCTCTCTCGCTCTCCGAACTCTCGTTCGGACCTTCGAATGGCACTCCGAGGCTCGCGTCCTGTGCAGCCATTCGACTCGGACGGCCTCTCCCAACGCTCGCGCCCCTGTGGGGATTTAGGATCGCACCTCCGGAGATTCGGAACTAAGACCGAACCCTCCAACCCCTTTTCGGACTAGCCTCCCCTTCGGAACGGATTTCGATCATTGCGAGAAATACATCCACGGACTACTATCTACTTCATTTCAGAACTCCTGTCGACTCCCCCTCCAGCGGACTTACCCCTGACGCCTCATTGGGAGTTGTAGAGTACAGGGGACGACTCTAAGTTAAAAGGTGTAGTATAGGGGTTAAGGGAGAGTTATATTCCGAAGTGCTCGAATCCTTCCTATATACGTTTCGGAGGCGTTTCGGACCTCGCCGTTTCTCCGCTCTCTTACTATGGTCCCCCTTCAAACCTCGTTCAAGGTGTCGTTCGAGTATCGAATCCGACTTCGAAATTAGAATGTGCAGCACACCAGCGAGCTGGCCAAAACAAGGATGTGGCGATACCCAGCAGCACGCGCCGCCCTCTCCCCCTTGCAGAGCACACAAAATCCCCCAGCTGAGCCCTTGGCACCACATACGGTTTTCCCGCCGACCGGGTCCTCGTCTTCTGCTCATAGGCGTATGCATACCCCATCAGGTCATATTCGCTCCATGCCGTGCCTAGAAAGCTGAGGCCAAAGGGGACTCCAGGTGCGGGGTAGACGGTCACAGGACCGGAGGACTTGATCGTCGTGTTTTGCGGGTAGAACCCGAGGGGGACGGTTATTATCGGGTAGCCTGCTATTGCTGCGGGCTGGGTGGTCCGGCCTGCGCATCGATGTTAACTGTTGACCTGGCAGGAAAGGGGGAGGACGGACCTGTGCTGGGGAGGATCAACGCGTCCAGCTCGAATGTCTTCAGCGCGTAGTCAATACCCTCCTCTCGGCCCATCCTGTAGTCTTCCTCCAGTACTCGATAATAAACAGCATCATACCCCTTCGTAGCCTGGGCAGCGACCAAACTGCGCTCTCTCAGCTCCTCCCTTTGACTAAGAATAGAAGTTAACTCACCCTTGTTGATCCGTGTAATTCTCAGGCTTTTCCAGTTCCGGATGGTCGTCGTTCCACCTGATGATGTCCTCCAGCGTCCTCACGCCCGTAGGCACCTCGGCCAAAGTATCAAGATACTTGTTCAAGTCCACCTTCATATCCGTAAGGCCTACGAGTTGCTCTCTAGTACTGTTGGCGATCTCGTACGCGCTGGGTAGGTCAGCAGGGTCGACGATCACTGCTCCCAGCTGTCGGAGCACGTGTATAGCCTGCTCGAACACGACGTGCACATAGGGGTCGACGTCCGTATACTCCAGCTCGAGGAACATCTTCCTCGGCACGCCCAGCCTTGCTCCTCTCAGCGCACCAGGGTCGAGCGCCTTCCTGTAATCCGGAACGGGAGGAGCGGAGAGCGTGTAGTTGTCCCTCCCATCAGGGCCGGCTATGATACCCAGTATCAGAGCCGCGTCCGAGACCCAGCGGGTCATCGGCCCTACAGTATCCTGATGTTCCGAGATAGGGATGACTGAACCTCCCATGAGCGCACTTCCTGGATTAGAAACCGGAACCGGTCACTCACCTCCCCAGCGACTGGTCAGCCCAACCGTAGGCTTCACACCCACCAGATTGTTCTTCTGACTAGGGCAGACGATGCTCCCGTCCGTTTCTGTTCCCAAACTTGCAGCCGCGAGCCCGAGAGCACTCACCACCCCTGACCCGGCGCTAGAGCCGCAAGGGTCCGCCATAGGGTAGTAGGGAGATGTACACTGTCCTCCTCTTCCAGACCAGCCGCTAGCTAGGTTTCCCCTCGCGTGGGAGAACTCGGAGAGGTTCGATTTCCCAAGGATGATCGCCCCCGCTTTGCGCAGCTTGTCTACTACTCCAGCGTCGCCGGGTACTTTAGATCCCAGGAGCGCCCAGGACCCCGCAGTGGTGTTCATCTCCTCCTGGGAAAGGGTAGCGATGTTGTCCTTGACGATTATGGGGATCCCGTGCAGCTTCGAGCGGGGTCCGGAGAGGGCGCGTTCCCAGTCCAGAGCCGAGGCTTGAGTGAGTGCCCAAGGGTTCATCTCGATCACCGCGTGCAACGAGGGCCCACGGAAGTTCACTTCCTCGATTCGGGCTAGGTAGGCCTGTGGACTACAGAGTAAGGAGTAAGACGAGAGCGGGGAAGGAGAGGCGGACGGACGGAAACTAGGTCTTGGCTTGTGAAATACCCGTTTTGGAGACCAGCCTGGAGCTCGGAGAGGGAGACGTCTAGCAGGTCCGGGAGATGGGGAGGAGTGAATATCTCAAGCCCGAGGAGGAGCGTAAGTGCGAGGAGAGTCAAGCAGGTTAGTAGTCGACGTCTTAGGTTGGCACGGGCGAGGAAAGCCCGCCTCCTCTTCAGATGGATAGTAGTGTTCTCCTCCAGCTCCCATAGCTTTTCTGAAATACTGGACATCTCGAGCGGTCCCTCAGTACTGGTCGCCAGAGGTTAACAACGTACACCATCGCATCGGGATCCAACCTGGTCGTTCAACCATATGTGCCCGGCTCCGGTGTAGTCACTCCGACTCCGAGGGGATATTTCGGCTCCGGACCTACGTCATTCCCCCGCATTCGGGACGTAACGTGTCTCGTGCCCGAATAAGCATACACGCGTCTTGAACACGTCAACTGGATAGGATCCCTTGCACCGTGACGGAGCTTGCATCTCTCTCGTGTACGACGACAATGTCACAGTCATCGCCTACTGATGTCCATACACGCCGTCGTTCCCATCCTCCTCCAACACCAGGAACGACGTCCAACCAACCCCAACCCCAAGCACATGCTGCATCTGCATCTGCCGCCCAAGCCCAGCTCAGCCTCTCCCGAGTGAGCGAAATAGCACAACAAGGCGTAACGAGCAAAGCCTGGTTGTACCCTGTCAAAGTCCGTTCTCCCCAGGCTCTCTTGTTTCTCCCTCTGACCCATCCGTGCGCCTCAGGGCATCCTCTACCTCATAGGACATCCCAGCCTCCTCCGCCCTCTTATCCCAACCATCGCTCTCTCGCTATTTGTTTCTCTCATCCTAACTGTCTCCATATTCGGCGCATTTTACCTCCCGCTCGCCGGCCTTCTGGCAGTGTTCAACGGGCCAATAGGATTCCTTTCCGCCGCAACTGTCCTGCTGAGCTTGTCGGGAACAGCAGTGAACGCCCTTGCCCGGAGTCTCTTTCTCCAACAAGCTTTAGAACGGGTGTTTGACCAAGTACGTTCCGTTCCTAAGGCGCCTGATTACTCGACTCATCAACTCACAGGTACTACTGGATCACTCCCTCCTCATCCTCCTCTCCCATGGCAGAGAGCTCAAAAAGTCTCACACAGGAAGACGCCTAGGCGCAGTACTGACCAAGCCCCTCGCACGCTTCTCACCCCGAGCGATCCTCACCTACATCCTCTCCCTTCCCCTGAACCTTATCCCGCTCGTCGGCACCGTGTTCTTCGTATTGTACAACGGAGTGCGCACGGGTCCGGGCTGGCATGAACGGTATTTTGTCCTCAAAAGGCTAGACAAGCGGGAAAAGGAAGAATGGGTGCACAGAAGGAGAGGCGCGTATTCCAGGTCTGCCCCCCCCCCCCCCCCCCCTCCCTCACCGAGTAAAGGCTAACATCGTTCCCGAGGACAGTTTTGGCGCAGCAGCTATCGTGCTAAATATGATCCCGCTCATGAGCTTGTTTTTTACGTTCACGACGGATGTCGGGGCGGCTCTGTGGGCTTGTGATGAGGAGAAACTTGCAGGTAAAGCTGAGGGTGTGCTCGCAGAGGGAAGGACGGCGACGGCTGTGCCTCAGACTAGTGCTGGTCATGTGGACAATTGAGAATGAGATTTTTACGATCTATTGCTTGTTGGCAATACCAAGATTTCAGAAAGACATCTTCGACGCCAGTATACAGCCTGGAAACAAGCACCGGCACCTGTTGCAGCTTTGCAGGAACGGAATGGGAATGAAAAGTTTCCTCATCGTCTTTGGAAGCAAGTTTGCTCTGGCACACCGCACATCCGAGCAAATGAGTGTGGAAAGAGGGTGATGGACTACATTGGTGGCCTGGGGGATGTCGACTTCTGCGGTCGTGTGTGAGTGCCTGGTGCTGCCGATCAGCGGCGAGCTTCTGGCAGAGTTGGCCTATTCAAGCTAATCGTGAGTCGATCTAGAGATCGGCAAGATCGGCAAGTTCTAGATGGTACCGAGCAAACGACCGAGTGCCGGTCCGACTAGAAGGGTACGACCCTTGATCCCTGGATTACGTACGAAGGACGTCGGAGGGATCACGAGATCAGCAGGGAAGACATCTCTAGGTCTTTACCAAGTTGGAGTGGAGCCGTATACGAGTAGGCACCGTCGAGGATGAAAAAAGGATCGTCATTGTCAGAATTCGCACGTGCTGATAATCACTCTGACAAAAGATCAGAAGATGGACCTTCTACTAGTATAACCTTGACAGCGTTCATTCCAGCTGTTCGTTTCTCTACCTGAGTATTATTAGGCAAATTGCCTCCGAGGCGCGCAAGGGCACAAGCACAGAGCACACTTGTTGTCGCCCCTCCCTCTACCTCCCACACTCGCAGTATGAACAACAACAACCCCGACAACTTGAAGCCCGTAGTGCTCATTACAGGATGCACAAAAGGCGGTATAGGGTACTCACTGTCCGTCCCCCTCCCTCCCTCCCTTCTCCCACTCACTCACACTCACCACATACAGATGCGAGTCCTTCGCCCCCCACGCCTCAGTCGTATACGCCACATCCCGTTCCCTGGGCTCCATGACTCCCTTCCCTAGGGGGAATATCAAGTGTCTCGAGCTGGACGTGACGAGTGACGAGAGCGTGCAGGCTGCCATAGGGCGGGTTTTGGAAGAAGAAGGGAGGGTGGACGTGGTCGTTAGTAATGCGGGTGGGATGAGTATAGGTACGTCTTCCCCTCCCCTCTCCCCTCACACGCCTAGACTGAACACATACGCAAGGTCCCATCCTAGACGCAGACATCCCCGAGCTCAAAAGAAGTTTCGACACAAACGTATTCGGCACGCACCGCCTTGCCAGGGCCTGTATTCCAGGGATGCTCAACCGGCACTACGGGCTGTTCGTCCTCGTGAGCAGTGTGACTGCTCTCACTCCCGGGTACGCCCTCCCCCCCCCGCAGTCACCCCTCTCCCTACTCACCCGCACCCGGACAGACCATGGCACGGGATCTACTCCGCTGGCAAGTCCGCCCTGCTGAATTACGGCGAAACCCTAGCACTCGAATGCGCCCCCTTCAACGTACACCTCCAGCTTCTAATCCCCGGTGCAGTACGCTCCAACCTCTCGCTAAACGAATCATCTCGCTGGCCCGGGCTGCCCCCGGGTTCCCTCTACTCCCCATGGGAGAAGGCAGTTAGGGAGCGGATGGTCGTTTCTCAAAGTGAGGGGGTGGCGATGGACACGCAGCTTTTTGCGCAGCGCTCGGTGGAGAGGATGATCCGAGGGTGGAGGGGGAAGAAGAAGTTGGGAAGGAGGGTCGTGGAAGGGGGAATGTGTTGGGCGTATTGGTTTGTGGGGATGTGGCCTAGAGCGTGGCAGTTAGCATTTATTTGGTGGCTTCAGGGGAAGAGAGGTTAAGTGAGAGAAGGGGAAGGAGGGGACGAAGGAGGGGAGTGGTCAGAGTATTTGTATTCCACTTACGTTTGATGTCTACATATGTTCCAGATGGCCAATTGAATGAGTTCGGCCTATTCCGCGAATCAATAGTTCTTTAACCCCTTTGGGAGAACTCAGGGACGTCCGAAGCATCCTTAACCAGCAGAAGCAGTGTACTCTATACCTCCCTATGAGGCGTCAGGAGCAAGTCCGCTAGAGGGGGAGTAGATAGTAGCGGTGGACTCAAGCAGAGGTTAGTCGCAAGTGAAGCGGTGCGGTGATAGTACTCGAAGTCCGTTCCGAAGAGATAGCTATCGAGGCTGACGTCAGTCTCCCATCCGCCCACTGCTATATACCGTTGCACCCATGGCCCCATGTACCAGGCAATATGCAGGCCAATGTCAACTTTCATATTAATATTTCAGGACAAGATCCCTCATTTGACTACATGTACTCCATTCATGACGATATAACGATATAGGAGTGAAAGGTCCCAAAACTCTACAAAACCGCGAATAGAGAATTTGCAACCATTCCACCATTCCAGGCACTGATCCCGGAATCCGAAAGTTCGGTTTGGAACAACCTGGGAAACATGCGGATCATCCAGAGACCTGAGGTGAGGTCTGCCGTTTTGACTCCGACTCCTTGAGTGAGATCCATCTACATGTGCCGCGTGCTGTTGCTCCAGCGTCGGTAGCACAGGATGCTTCGTGGAATCGTTCCAAGACATGCCAAAAGGCGCGAGTGCATCCGGACAGGAGTGAGGACTTCGGAATCTCGGCCGTTCGAGTCGGAAAGACTGAGGGTGACAGACTCGGAGCGCGATTCGAAGGCTTGAACGAGTTTGGATTGTTCAACATGGGGGAGGATAAGGAATGACTCAAGTCGAAGGCGTAGTGTAAAAGTTAAGGGAAGGAAGGAAAGGTCCCTGTTCCGAAGTACTCGAATCCCCCTATATACGTTCAGAGGCGACTCGGACTTCGGACTAACTGTCCTAACTCCATTCCAAGTCTATGATTACCATGGTCCTTTCGAACCTTGTTCGGAGTGTTGTTCGAACGTCGAATCCGGCTTCGAAATTAGAATGTGCAGCACACTACCTTGCAAGCCGATGTCAAGTCTTGTTTTCGAGCAAAGAGAGATCAATATCATCCAGGCTCGTTCCACTCTTAGAGCGCTCCTCTTCGGCGCTCGTTCGAGCAGTAGGATACGTTTCAACCATGGGTTCCAACCGACGTCGGATCGGTCGACCGTTCCTTCTCCCTTCTTGTGCTGGTTCATCATGCGTCGGAACTCGCGGGCGCCTCTAGTTCTCTTGCCTAACGACATGCTCCTTGACCCGAGCCGAAATCTTCGGGACATGCACGCGCAGTTGTATCGGCATAGTCGTAACGTCCCTCCCATACCTATGCGAGAGCAAATCGGGTCCTTCATCGTCTTTCTGCCATTCTTACTTCACAGTGTCGTCCTCCCTGTCCGGCTTGTTCCACAGTCCTTCGGCAGCGCGCAACAGCAACGCTCGGCTCTTTTCTAGAGACGACTCCAACCTGGGGGGTTCTTGTTTCGAAAGCGGCTTCCAATACTCGAGATTGGATTCCAGGGATAGATAAGGTGGGAGGAGTCTCCCGTTTTCCTGTGAAAACATGGGTTCTGTTTCGGTCGACTCGGGCGGGATCGCGCTGACCGTTCGGTCTTGAACGGTGGGGTTCTTCATCCCGGGATGCAGGGGATCTCGCTGCCAAGGGCCTAGAGGTTTGTCTAAGCTCCAAAAAAAATCTGGTATCATCCTATTTGGAGAAGAATTGACGGAGATATGCTCAAAACGAGTCTGTGCTTCGGAGATCATGGAGGCCCGTGCTTTGTCACCTAGCGTGTGCTGCGGCTGGCTTGGGCCTGTGCTGTAGTCCGATGGGAGGACGCTGCTGTCCATGCGTCCTGCAGCTGCAGTATCTTGGAGTTCCAACTCCAAACTGAACCGCCCAACGCTCGGCTCTTTTCTAGAGACGACTCCCTTGGGCGCGCTTCTGGTGTCGAAGGCAGCTCGAGATTGGATTCCAGGGATAGATGAGGTGGGAGCAGTCTCCCGTTTTCCTCTATACGTTCGGAGGCGATCCGGACTTTGGACTAACTATCTCAACTTCACTCCTTCTATGATTACCTAAAGCTGTGTATAGGGTCCGTTTCCCTCTACTATCTTGCCATAGTTAGTCCTTTCGAACCTCGTTCGGAGTGTCGTTCGAACGTCGAATCCAGCTTCGAAATTAGAATGTGCAGCACAGCAGCCCGTCACTCTCGAGATCGAGGAGATCGAGGCAGAGGTAGGGGCAAACAGCCCTGTTAAATTGATGACAGACAACAACAAGTACTCGGCATCTAGTCGGAATCGAAATTGTGGAATGAAATAGAAGGGAGATGTTACAGAGAAAGAAGTGTGATGAGACTGCTAGGGGATGGGAGAGAAGTAGGTAGAGATAACAGGGAGGAGGACATATGGGCAAGACATTGACAAGGATGGGTACAGGCGAAACAGCAGGTACAATGATGCGTTCCGAGAGCAGCTTACAATCTTCATGATCCCGATAGTTGAATACCGAGACCATCAGCAGAGGTTGCGACACTTGCTATTAATGAATCGTCAGCCTCCTCGCGGTGGAGCTCTTCAGCATCGGTGGTTAAGACATCTGGACGTAGAGGAATGGGCAGAAAATTCGCCGCCAACAGTAACGTTGTCCTTCTCAGCCGGCGGGACGCCATCAATACTTTGTTCGGGTGTGGCGATCCACCAGTTGTACATGGCGCGCATCTTTACGACGAGTTTCTTGAGGTTTTCCGTGCGTTCGTGAGGCGCTGGGCAGGGGCCGTTCATGACGCTCATGCTAGACGCGAAGGCGTAGAACGAGTTGAGGGGCAGCTCGAATTGGTATGGGTCGAATTGGTCGGCGGGGAGGGTCTCAGGTCTCGGATCATGTGGGTCAAGCATTCGATAAGGAAGGTCGGTGGCAGGGTAAGGCGCTCCCATGTCCTCATGCCGCATTACCACGAGTTCAAATTTACCTGACAACTGATTCATGGGTTAGAATGGTCTTGCGAAGAAAACAGAAACCAGCTCACCTCGGGAATACGGCGAGGAGGCACATCGCGCCCTAGCCTACCCTGGAACTTGCGCATGGTGAAGTCGAGCGTTTCAAAATCGCTCATCTTCCGCAGGTTCTCGCGGCAAGGTATAATTGTCCATGCACCGGTCTGGAATGCATTTGCATGCCCTTCGCAAACTGAGCTTCTACGTTAGCGCACCATGATCGAAGAAGCTGCGGAATGAACCGTACGAGCAAAGCAGTTGTCCCAAGAATCACAACCATAAGACGGAGGAACAACACCAATGCTCACAAGCCACATAAGCTGAAAAAACGTTAGATAATGCGCCACTGGAAATGTAGGAGACAGACCGGAGTGTATTCTTCGGACTCCTGCCCGACCAGTCTCGTGAATCCGTACTCCCCTGAACCTTCGAATTTGTTCGGGCAGATCAAACACCTACCCTTTTGACTTTCGAAGATAGCTCGGTTGAGCGACCTTGGGATGTGGTCTTGATTGATATTCGAGATCTCGGTTTCGTTCTCTGCTTCCCAGCTCGTGTCCGTCGCGATGCTTCCGACACTCTTCTCCGTTGACACCTTGTAAAAGGGCTCCTCATCGCTTCGGGGAGATGGCGGAGTTTCACAACGGGCTGGCGAAGGCGCTCTGTCCTTCTTGTACCACGGAGTTTCCGGCGTAGCACCCGGAGGCAAGGAATTCCTAGTATCTCGTACATGGGAGTATGCCCTTCGTATATAATCTGCGTCTTCCTCGCATGCGTCTCCGCTGCTCCCTCTGTGTCCGTGTCACCTCCATCGCCAAACTCGGCTCGTACCGCCGATAAATATGTACCGTCCGACTGTACCGTGCCCTCTGCCGGAATTTCACTGTCAATGCCATGATGCTTGTTGGGTTCGATGAGACTGTCCTCCTCATTGTACCGCGCTTCCTCGCCCGTCCGGCTGCTCATGCGAATGCGCTTGACGAAGTCCAAGAGAAGCTCGCCCTGGCTTCGTCCATGTGTAACGAGGAGGGGGAGAGGCACTGCTGTTTGCTTCACGAATCGTCTCTTCAACCGCGGCAGCCGTCCCCACAGGAGGCCATCTGCATCCCCTCCAATCTCATCCCCTAGCAGTCTCAATCAGATCCCGTAGCTGGGGTAAGAAGAGAGAGTATCTGTGCAGCACCATCGTTTTGAATGTCGTCGCCAATGTCGTCTCTATCAGATGTTTCCTTCTCAATCGGGGGTTGCGTTGTATCGTCATACGTCAATTCGTCGTTAGAATCAGGAAGGTAGTGCTGAGCTTGACTCTGTAGCAATGTCAATAGCCATCCCAATTTCAAAGATATCCGAGGCAAATCCAAACACGTCATTTTGGAATGGCACACACCTTTGAGATAACGTCCGTTCCGATAACATCCTTTTCACCTAAATCCCCTCCCTCACCCTCCGATTCCGTATCGTCATCACTAACTAACGTGACTCCCTCCCTCTCAGTATCAGCATTGTAGACTCTCATGACCTCCTCCTCCTCAGACGCAATACCATCACCACTGGCTCTTACGGCGTCCTCCCCCTCAGACATATCATCATCATCACTGGCTCTCTGAACCTCCTCCTCAGACTCAGTGCCATCATCATTGACTATCACGCCATCCTCTCCTTCAGACTCGGTATCATCATCACTGACCACAGGCTGCACCATTGTGGAAGACATGTTCGTAGCGGGCTCATGCAATTCGGCAGGGGATGAGGCGGTTTTGGGGCGCGTACGATGTTGGGAAGCAGCGGTCTTTCTTGTCACCGCCTCCTGAGCCGTGGCACGTTTCTTCCGAGGTGTGGTGGGTTTGCCGGTCAACTTCTTCCCACCAATCTTAGCCTTTTCAGCAGATTTTCTAGCAAAGGGTGCGTCCTTCGTCTTGGACTTTGGACTTTTCGCACTTTTCGCGCTAGACGCCGGCGTCTTAGCTTGAGTTGCCTTGCTCGATGGGCACTTGGGTGTTGCATCCTTCGCTTTCTCCGCTTTCCCCGCTTTCCCCGCTTTCCCACTAGCCTCATCTTCCGTCATTGTCTCCCTGCCACGGCCGGTGCGCTCAGTCATTCGTTGCTTGATAGTTTCACGTTTAGCAGCTGCTTCAACAGCAGCCTGCTTGCCTCGGGTGACGCGAGGCGTGCTCGTTTTCTTTGAGCTGACAGGCGCCTCACTCTTTACAGGTCGTTTGCTCTTCGCCTTGCTTGGGGACTGCTTGGTCGCGGCAGAAGTTGAAGTCCGCTTTGACTGCGTGGTGGCTGTGGACAATTGGAGAGGCTTCTCATCAATGTAAATGGAGTCGAGGAACTTGAAGCCTTCAGGTAGCTCAGGCGCGCTTGCGGCCTTTTCGGTATCTGCAGCGTTTGAGTGACGCGTGCGACGTGTGGTGGGCGGAGCGATTTCATAGGACTCAGCAGGTTGAGGCGCTGAAGCACCAGAGCGAGTGACTCGCCGAAGTGGAGAATGTTCCTCGGTTTCGTAAACCTTATCTTGCTCCTTCTTGGCCTGCCTGTGAGTGGATCTCGGAGTATGTTGCTGTGCTTCCATCTTAGATGCGCTGCGAGTACGCGGAATGCGCGGCGAGTTGTCGTCCACCGCCGGTTTGCCCATCGAGACGCGTGCCGACCTGCGTGGCGGGGGTGTATTCTCAATCTCTGGTTCTTCGACAGCAGAAGCACGAGTAGAACGTGTGGTGCGGATGGGAGGCGCCGACGAGACAATTTCGACCTCGTCGTCTTCATCTACCTCAACATAACTCTGGCGAGTAGAGCGGGTGGAACGACGAAGCACGGGAACCTCCTCCACAGGCTCCTCGTCCTCTTCATCCTCGATGCGGGCATAACTGACCCTCCGATTTTTCCGAGGTGAGCGACGTACTTCTTCTTCGACATCGTCCTTCCTAGCATTGTGAGTTGAGCGACGCAACGGCTGCTGTTCCGCTTCTTCTTGGGCTTCATCTAGTTCTTCTTCCTCAGCCCCGGCCGCAAACCTGCTCGGACGCCTGCTCAGCCTGCCTGACCGTCTGCGACGTGTCGTGTTTTCTTCCGGCTCCTCATCCACAACTTCGTTTTTCCTGGACTTCCGTTTCCTCGGTCCGGTCTCCTCTTCCTCCTCCTCCTCTTCTTCTTCTTCGGTGTTCTGTTCATCGCTAGAAGCGCGGTACTCTTCCTCTGATTCCTCAGCACGAGAGCGGCGTCCGCGGGCAGCACGAGTAGTCCGTGGCGAGCGAGTGATTTTGGGTGACTGCGAAGAGATGGCCATATACGCAGGGTCTGGTTCTCCTTCCGCGTCCTCCTCCTCCTCTTCCGCCTCCCACGCCGCCAGGGCAGCTGCTTCCGCAGCAGCAGCGGCAGCAGCCTCTTCAGCAAGTCGTGCAGCGCGGGCAGCACGCATCCGCAGTACAGAGATGTTGATCGGTGCTTCCGGTTCCTCGATAGATTCCATTGACTTCTTTGACTTTCCTTTGCCACTTTGGCGTGGAGAGCTCTCGGCGTGTTCTTCAGTGCGAGGCCGCTTTGGCGGATGGCCACGTTTTTTAACGGGAGTCGGCAGGAGGAGGAGCGGATCTTCATCATCCATGTCCTCGTCAACTATCGCTTTAGTCCTCGATTTTCTCCTGGAAGAAGCAGGAGGGGTAACCAGCTCTACCTCCACGTCAGAGTCAGCACCGCTCTCCTCCGAGGTGAGCCTGTTACGTCCCCTCTTGCCGGTGACTTTTTTGTTCGTCTCTGGTTGCACTTTGCGCGGCCTGGCGCGGCCATTTACAGGGAGAGTGGAAGACTTGGTAGAGGCACGGCGGCCTCGGGAGGGAGGCTCCCGGGCAGAAGAGGACATATGCGCGCCTCTCTTGGACGACTTTAAACCCTTGGCGGCCGCTGCCTCCGCGGCAGCCTCCGCAGCGGCATTTGCCTCTTCCTCCTCGTCTGTGTACGCTTCCCTGGGTACAGGACCTGTGGGATTTGCATAAAAAGGTTCCTGTTTTCGAAAGCAGTAAAGTTAGTAACGCACCTCGGTGGCGATGGGCGGATGTCGAGGTACGAACCTCGCTTTCCGTCCGGTAGCCAGGGTGCTTAGGCTTATGTGTGCTGAGCGCGACACCGTCAGTTCGGCGGTTAACGCGCCCATATGGGTCACGCCGCTGAGTACTGGGGCGAGAGGGAGCTGCATCCATATCCTCGTCAGAGTTCTCCACAGCACGCTTCAACTCGATATCGACTTCGTTTTCTTCGTCTTGTGCATACATCTCGCGTATCTCCTCGTCGGAAGTGGGACGATGGGAGTCGTTATCATCACAGACCAAGTGTTTTCCTCGCTGATGTCGTTTTGAGTGACCATCGGTGGCGGTGGCGGTGTTGCGTTTGCCACCAGAGGAGACGGGGTGAGGAAGAACATCGACGTCCACCTCTGCGGTGGACTTACGCGGACGGCCCTTGCCTCTTTTTACAGCTGTAGTGCCGTCTTGTACATCATCGGTCATCGCCTCAGCAGTATTTTCAGCATCTGCGGCAGTAGGAGTAGTATCTGTGGCAGCAGCCATCACACTAGCGATCGTCGGAGGCGGTGGCACCTCGCTCGCCGTCGGTCCCTACAAGCGCGTCCATCAGTCCACGCGCCCCATTAACGATGCAAAGTAGACGCACCTGGATCTGGGATGTCTCCGGTGCGAGAGGTGGTTCCTGCTCCCAGAAAGGGAGAACAGCAACAGCATATTTCTCGTACACATATCCCTGCATCGGAACTTGTCGTCCACGCGGACGTCTACGTCCTTCCTCACCACCGTCGTCGTCGAAGACGATAGGAGCGGTCGGGTCGTCGGGCAGTTCGAACGACATTTCGACCGGCGTTCGCACAACGGTGTCGGGAAGGGAGAAAAAAGAGTGGCAGACGAGGAGTGATGACAATGGTTCAAGACGGCGTCGGAGGCAGACTTATGCTTTGGTTCCATTGCCTCACGTGCACGAAAAAGAAATACATTACCAGAGATCGGAACTCCGAGTCAATAACATTCCAGCAAGTTAATTCCTCTGATGACCCCAATTCGGAGGCAAAGTCGCCAGAGAATATTTGGCCGGACACATTTGCGCTTCTGAAGCCAAAATATCAAATTTGGGGTCCTGCGAGTAGCAGGTTGATAAAATATGACAAAAACATCACAATGATAGGGAAAGAAGGAGAGAAAATAACACTCTCATCCACTGTGTGCTCGTTGCTTTTTTTTCACCAGTTCTGTAGTTCTGAATTTGGTTGATATATGTGCATTTGGGTGAATGGACGCCTTCCCGTAGCTTCCAGATACGTAGATTACTATAAATTTGTCAGCCGGAAGCAGTTAGGCAAGGCGGAGGCTGATTTAGAAAAACCCCGATGAAACCGTAACTGGCACACATGGTTCCAGAAGCCTTTCCAAATCTGGGGAGGGTGTGCCTGTCCGTCACGTGTGTCCGCTCTAACCCCGCTCTGAGGGTGCGACTCTCGACCTTCTCATCTTTGCTTGCCACCACTCGACTTTCTTTCTCCCTGCCAGCAGACGACCCCCAGTACGCTGCCTGGAGAAGGTTTTCGAAGCCCTTGTCAACATCCCCAGGGCGCTTGGGAAGCGGATTAAGTAGAGTAGGATGATGAACGTGATGTAAGGATATGATTTCGACGCAGCGTCAGAGTCCAGTAAACATCCGTGAGCGTTTTGGTAGGGCGCGCGCAATCTGAAAAGGCCCCCCCCAGATGTCGTATCTGGAAAGGAAAGTAGAAAGCTATCGGAGTTTCAAACATGCTTCTGAGAAGCGCCGGAAGCAACCGGCCCGGTTTAGGAAATGGTAATCTAGTATCTGGAAGCTACGGGAAGGCGTCCAATGTCATCTTGAGCTTTAGCCGGACCCCTAACTTTTATATTTTCCCAAGAACCCTTTTTATTCAGTTTCAGGCCCTCCCTAAGTCATTGAAGGAAATTTGAGCCCTGAGGGCCATTCTGGCGACTTTACTTTCGAATTGGGGTCATCGGAGGAATTAACTCCATTCCAGCCAACAAGCAGAGACAAACAATCAACGAGGGCCGAACAGGTAATCATTTCATAAGGAGTACCACCGCAAATGTACAAAACTTGTGGCATCGTTGGTAGATCTGGCCAGGGACCACCGAATCAACGAAAGATCAAGGTTGTCTGATTCATCAATCCTGTCAGTTCCGAACAATAAGTATGAATGTTCCTGCTAGTCGTACAGTGCCCAAACAGGGTGTACAGTACATGCCCCGCGCCCTCAGTCCACTCTCTGCCAATAAATCTCTCGCCCTCGTTCACTCCCCCATGCATGGGAAAAACCTGGCTGGAACGCCTCTGCTGCAATCAGGCGCCATCCAGCCCTTGATCCCGTCCCCGGGCCTTATCAGCCCTGCAAGCCCGGGAACAATCTCACATAGCCGACTCACCGCTCTCGTTCGTCCATTCCATCTGTCGCCTCACATCTTCGTCCGTCACCGTGGGACGCACCGCTTGCACTGCCCGTACAAAGTCGTTCAAGCCTAGAACGGGTTCGAGCAGCTCGTCGGCTTCCACATCGCCCCAGCTTTTCTCGACTGCGTCTGGGTCTCCGGGCGAACAGGGTGTCCATTTTGCGATTTCGCTCGGAGGGGGAGACGGATTAGGCACTTGGACAGACTTGAAATGGGTTGCGGAAAGGACTTTCCGCACAGGTTCCATCAGTGCGTCGCGTACGACGATGGCGATATCGGAGCCAGAGTACCTGTCAAATCACATCAGTATTCGCACCAGAAGGCAGTGGATAAAGAAAGCACCCAGTAGTCTTCTCCGCGAGCGTTCTGTAATCGTCCTTCACCAGCACATTCGGCGTCGTGCCAATATTGAGCTCAAACATCCGCCGCCTCGCCTCAGGCCCTGGCAGGGGGATGTATATTCTCCTCTCGAACCTACGCTTGATTGCCGGATCCAGCATCCAGGGGATGTTGGTCGCACCCAGGACGAGCACCCCACCACCGTCTTTCCCCACACCGTCCATTTGGACGAGGAATTCGGTCTTGATACGGCGCGAGGCCTCCGACTCGCCCTCTCCACGCGTGCCGCAGAGCGAGTCGACCTCGTCGATGAAGATAATTGACGGTTTCGATTCACGCGCCATCGTGAAGAGTTGTTTGACCAATCTATAGGCGTGGAATAATCAGTGCTGTCGTCCGCACTGTTAGCAAAACGCACCTCTCACTCTCGCCCATCCACTTGCTGACCAAATCTGAGCTACTAACACTAAAGAAGGTGCTCTTCGCCTCGGTAGCCACCGCCTTCGCCAGGAAACTCTTTCCCGTCCCTGGTGGACCATACAACAGGATTCCGCGCCAGGGCGTGCGCTTGCCAGTAAACAAGTGCGGGAACTTGATCGGCAAGATAACCGCCTCCTTGAGCGCCTCCTTCGCAGCTTCGAGACCAGCAACATCATCCCATCGCACGTTGGGTGTTTCGGTAAGAATAGCGCCCGATAGACCGGCACGCAGCTTCTTCGTGTCCGGATCGTCATCGTCGTCTCTATAGTAGCAAGATGAATCAACGTCTGCACTTCGCCCAGATGTACAAATCACGCACTTGTTCTTCCCCGCTCCACCACCACCACCCGTGGACTTCCCATCCGCACCCATAGCGCTGCGCTGACGCTTTTCCTGCGCTTGGGCGAGGTGCTCCTTTAGTCGCTCTGCTCGGTCGAGGTACTCTTTCAGCTTGTTCTTGATGAGCTCTTTGAGCTTGTCGTTCTTCTCATCTACACCTACGCGTCAGCAGCAGCGTCTGAGTCAAGGCTGCGATACAGCAAACGCAGGCAGAATGATAGGGAGGGTACACGTACACTTCAGCGCCATCATGAAGTAATCCAACGCGTTCTGGTATAGTTTATAGGCCTCGGCATAATTCTGCGCGACATCTTCGTCGATAGCCTTCTGTACAAGATCGATCGCTTTCTGCAGGGATTCGTTATTAGACATTGTGCTGACGAAGAGTGTAGAGGTGATGAAGACGTACATCAAGAAAGTTGCTGTTTGCTCCCATGCTTCCTAACCTCTAACGCCGCGGTCACCGTACTCAGTGCCGACAGCCGTGACCGTGTAAGATGCTCCTATCTGGATCTTAGGCGCTGCGCAGTCAAACGATGAGTCGAGGGCAACGTCGACTGCGTTCCACCGTCTGGTGTGACCACTCAGCGGAAGCGGACCCGGCACAGGGTGTCGGAGCCGAGCATCGGCGATTAGGTACATGAAATGAAATTTCATTATTTGACCCTACTAACAAGTTGGAAAGATATTAATTGCTCAAATGCTTTACTAGAATTTGTTACTTGGAATAATTAACTCTTGCTTCATTCTTGGTCGACAGCTCTATCTTGGCTTTGTTCGATGCCTAGGAAGAGCTATGCTGCCCGGCGTATCCGGGAGACTATTACCTACTCACGGCATGTCCTCTGCCCAAAGTTGGTCACACGACCCACTGACTCCTCTTATCCAGTCATCCTCCATCCTGTCAATTGCCGCTTTTTTCATAACGCTTCAAGGAGACATGTTATGATATTCTCCGGCCAGCGCAAGGCGAAGTATACGGGTCCGTCAGCGGATGCAGGAGGGGAGAAGGCAAAAAGGAATCCTCCTTTGCCCGAACTGGCACAACTGCCTACAGTTGGGCAATCCATTACGGTCCGTCTCCTCCCTCTCCTAAGTGAACGCAGCATATTGTTTACGCTGATACGTTGAGCAGATTGAAGCCCACGCAGACCTCAGCGAGCATCTCCTCCTTTTCCCTCCACACCCTTCCTCTCGCGTACCTGCCATCCCCGAGCTCTCCCCAGAACGCCCTCTGCGCCTCCGCCCACACCTACATGGACCAGATCACAAGCCTCAAGTGCCTATATGGGCACTCAGAGTAGCCCCTGTTTATACCTGCAATCTATTTATGGTGAAGGCTTGGCCTAAGACGCTACTTCTGCGCGAGAAGAAACCGGGTCTGGTGCAGGACCGGAACGATAGAAGAGAATGGGGGTTGACGGGTGCCGGGAGCAGGAAGAAATGGAAAGAGTGGGTGGGGGATAAGAAGATGCAGGACGCGAGGGAGATGAAGAGTCGAGAGGAGTCGTATCCCCAACCACCACATCCTCATTCAATCGCCAACTCGCCCGTACAACGTCCCAAGGCGACGTATGCATCCCACCGCCTCTCAATCCGCTCTCGTCTCTCTCTTCAAATCATCCTATCGAAAAAACGAGTCAACAAGTCCGGGGCAATCCGTCAGCAGGTAGCCAAGAAGATCCGGCAAGGGGTTCGGTACATCCTCGAGCGCGGGATGGGCGTCGATGCTGACGACACGCTGGTTTTCAATGAAGCGGAGGCTGGGGTTGGAAGGTGGATGCTTTCTGGTACGCACGTACATCGGACTGTTCCTTGAGCTAGTTCTCATGCAGGGCGACTTCATTCCCGCAGATTGGCACTACATCATCTACGCGCAGCTCCCGTGCTACCGTCATCCCTGGCCAGGCATGATGCTACACCTCCGCCGTGCATTGGAGCATATCAAGACTTCTGGCGAGACGTTCAACGCCGAGTGGGAAGCGGCAGACCATCTGCAATCAGAGTGGAAGGAGATGCACGAAGCGGAAAGAGAGATGGGAATTGCGAGAAAAGAGTCTGAGGAGTGGGCCGCAGAGCTGATGAAGAGGGAGGAGGCGGCGGTAGAGTTGTGCAAGCAGGGGCAGCTTGGACCTGAGCTGAACGACTTGCTTGGGCGGTTCAGCTCGGAGTTGGGGCTCCAAGATACTGCAGCAGCACCATCCTCGATCAACTCAGGAGGCATGGACAGCAGCGTCCTCCCATCGGACTACAGCACAGGCCCAAGCCAGCCGCGGCACACGCTAGACGACAAATCACGGGCCTCCATGTTCTCCGAAGCAGATCCCCTGCATGCCGGGATGAAGAACCCCACTCAGTCGACCGAAACAGAACCCATGTTTTCGCAGGAAAACGGGAGACTCCTCCCACCTCATCTATCCCTGGAATCCAATCTCGAGTATTGGAAGCCGCCTTCGAAACAAGAACCGCGCCCAATCGAGTCGTCTCTAGAAAAGAGCCGAGCGTTGCTGTTGCGCGCCGCTGAAGGACTGTGGAACAAGCCGGATAGGGAGGACGACACTGTGAAGAAAGAATGGCAGAAAGACGATGAAGGATCCGATTTGCTCTCGCATAGGTATGGGAGGGACGTTACGAGCATGCCGATGCAATTGCGCTCGGGAAAATTGCGCGTGCATATCCCGAAGTTTTCGGCCAGACTCAAGGAGCATGTCGTTAGGCAAGAGAACAAGGAGAGGCGTCCGCGAGTTCCGACGCATGATGAATTAGCACAAGAAGAAGGGAGAAGGAACGGTCGACCGATTCGACGTCGGTTTGAACACATAGTTGAAAGGTATCCTACTGCTCGAACGAGCGCCGAAGAGAAGCGCGCTAAGAGTGGAAGAAGTCTGGACGATATTGATTTATCTTCGCTCGAGAGCAAGACTTGACATCGGCTTGGTAGCATGCAAAACTGTCTGAAAGGAACACCCCACAGTAATGGAATCAGAACGTATGCCTTCGAGTCACCACACTGCGAGTCTTTTCCACGAGTTACTGGATCTCCGCTCGTCATCAGGAGCGCGACAGAAGGCAGCCGAAGAGGTGTAGAATGTGCGGAGAGGAATGGGAAGCATAAGCCTTGGAGGTCTGGAATATTCCAGTGTTCTATAATGTACGATTAGTCACTCACGCCCATAGCTGTACGATATCCTGCATTTGTTACCTATCCTAGCCTAATGAAGTTTTTAAACCAACATGCCGAATCTCGAGCACGTGCCATGCCCTTCTCGCAACTTCTACTCGACACGGCCCACCCCGACCATGCGATGACTCACCACCTTTTGTCCTATTTCAGCACTCTCCAGTCCGTTGTGCTCGCACTTTCTAGGCTCGTGATACATTCGATGCACAGTCGATTACGCATGTGTCCACGTTATGCTCCGCAACTGACGGCACTTGGACGAGGAGTATAAATTGCGCTCCAGGCTGTCCGGAGCAACAGCAGCAAGACACAAAGATCACATCTCTCTATACCAACCAATCAACAACCACGAACGATGTCTCTGATCAACTTCTTCGACGAACCGCTCTTCTACTACCCTTCCTACTCTCGACACCAAGCACGGCGTCAAGCGGCAGCGGTGAATAGCTACTACCACGCTCTGGCACGACAGCAGGCGCAGCTGGCAAACGTTTTCTCAGACATGTTCGATACCTTCGGCTCTGAGCTTGCGCAAACGCAGGCGAGGCAGCCGAAGACGGAGCTGAGGGAGGCGCCCAATGGATACGTGCTGGAGGCGGAGCTGCCAGGTGTGAGGAAGGAGGACTTGGAGGTGACGATCACTGAGGGCGGAAAGAGGATCAGGATCAAGGGGAGGGTCGCGAGGAAGACGCAGGCTGAGCCTGCTGCCGCCGAAACTGTTGCAGTCCCGACTGCTGAAGTTCCTGCCGCCGAGCCCGCTCAGGCCGCCGAAGCTGCCCCGGAGACGGCGGCGCCTGTTCCAACGACGACCGAATCCGAAGTCGTCGCCGCCCCGACTGGGGAAGTAGCTACCGCCCCTGTTGAGGAACAGTACACGGCGACATTCTCTCAATCATTCGCCCTTCCTCGGGCGGTGGACGGTACAAGGGTTGTCGCTAGGCTCGAGGATGGGGTGCTCAGGCTTGTAGTGCCCTTCCTTGAGGATGCCGACAGTGTGAGGGTTACCGTCAACTGAGATATGATGGCCGAAAAATAGTGTCGAAACACGGCTCATTGCTATGGTGTTACATCAATGTTGTCTTATTTGACATGATCTTATTATCGTATAAATTCATACATTGTATTGACTTTGCTAACACCGGCGAATCAATAGATTGCCTCATTACAGTGAAACGCCTCACCACAATGTTACAGTTGTCCGAGTCGGAAGAATCGCTGTGGCAACACACTGCTCTTTGCTCTCACTCGGCGACCACCTCCTGTCACCCCACCACTATCCTCTCCTACCACCAAGATGCCCATCGTCAAAACCAAAGGCCTGTTGTTCGACATGGACGGCACGTTAGTAGACTCGACGCCAGGGGTGATCCAGGTCCGTCAACGCACTCACCGCGAACTATAGCGGTCACCGACCGGATCTGACAGGCCTGGAACGACTTTGGCAAGAGGTATGGGTTTGATGGGAACGCTGTCGCGGACGGTGCGTATCGCCTTCATTGTTGGCAAAAGGCTAATACCGTGAACAGCGACGCACGGGGCACGCTTGGTCGACAGCCTGAAGCGCTACTGCCACATCACAGACGAGGCAGAGCTGCACGTACGCTCCTACGCACAACACCAATCATCGTAGCTGATATACGCTCTCTCTGATAGGCCGAAGTCCAACGGTTTGAGACCGATGTGCTCGAGGCTACCCGCCGAGGGCAGGGCGTTTCCCTCCTCCCGGGCGTGCTCGACTTGCTTGGAGCAGTCAGCAGTGTACAACACGACCGACCAATATGGGCCATCGTAACCAGTGGTGAGTAGCTTGTCCTCCCATCTCCCCCAAACTTCGGAGCCGGGATAACGTCTAACCCCGCACTAGCGACCTCCCTCTACGCTCCCAAGGCGCTCGAAGCAGCCGGCGTGCCCATGCCCGAGAAGCTCATCACCGCCGACCGAGTGACGCACGGCAAGCCCCACCCCGAGCCGTACCTCGCCGGAGCGGCTGCGTGCGAGCTAGAGGCCAAAGACTGTATCGTCGTAGAGGATGCGCCGAATGGGATCAAGGCTGCCCAGGCAGCGGGGAGCAGGGTGTTGGCGGTGTGTACGAGCCATTCGCGTGCCCAGCTTGAGGGGAGTAAGCCGGATTGGATCATTACCCGTTTGACTGGGGTCAAGGCTAGCTGGGACGGGGAGGACATCGTCCTCGAGATTGATGAGACGCCGTGAAGATGATAGAGGCACACATAAGGTACAAGATCTAAATCAATGATTTACAATAGAATACAGTAGAACCTAGAGAATTTCAACCCCGTCCGTTGCTTCTGACCCATAATCCACCACACAGGCACTTTTTGTTGAACGCTTCTTCGTAGAACATCCAGCTGATACTGAGTGGGCGTTTCTGAGGGCTGCTGGCCTCGTTCTTTGCCCCACATCTCAGGCATGTACGCAGGACGGCCCCAGGTCGGAAAGCCAGACGGGAGATGACGTCCCGCTGAGCTTCGTCCTTTGCCGGATCGGATGGAGGGAGAAGCATGGTCTCCAGAAGGTCAGAAGGCGAGATGAGGAGCGCGACCTTGTTAGCCAGTGAAGGATGGCTGGTGAGCAACCGGGCGATCTCGAGAGATAACGGGCATAACGACTTGGGCACGGAGACGGAGATGAAGGCTTCTCTAAAGTCGGAAAGTGGGCTCGACGAGTCTGCGTCTTACGTCAGCGTCAATAACGATCCCGAGGATCGTCCGCGCTCACTGGCGAAGTGCACTTTGCACTGTCCCTGCACGCCTCCCAGCACCTCTTCCAATGCATTCAGATCCAAGAAGCACCGATCGACCGCATCCTGGAGACTGCACTGGACGATATACGCCTGTTCTGTCGTCGGGGAGATCTTCGACATCCACTCTATGAATTCCCTGACATACTTGAGGGTGAAAACGATGAGGGGGAGGCTCATAGGGTGCATGAGGAGCAGGGCCGAGGGGGGGGGATGAGGCACACGTCCGGCTTTCAGGCTTGGGGACTCTTCAGGTCCTTGCTCATCGCATAGTTCCCAGGCCCGCTGGACGATCGCATCGGCGACGATACGCCGAGAAAGGTCAAGGAACCAGTCGCTCCAAGCGATAAGGTTCCATGTATTTTCTAGCCATGTGGTTATAACAAGCCGCACATTGCCAAGAGAGAAGCACTCACTCGTCTCGAACATGACGATCGTCGTCCTCGTCCCATCCGCGTTCGCTGTCTTCTCCTCCCTCTTTTGCCTCGAGACCAAGAACGCCCGCTCGCACGCCACAAGCTTCGTGATATCATAACATGTCTCCCAAGCCTTAGCGACCTCCGGATCCGGGCAGGCCCTGTCCAACATCAACATCAACATGAGGCAGCACGCTGAAGAAGCCAGACGCACTTATATATCCCTACAAGATGCTCCACAAACCTGATAGTCCAGGGGGAGCAGTCCAGTTCCAGCTGCCTACTGAGCTGTACCCCCGCTCCCGCACTACCAGTACTAGCGGCCGCAGTGCTGCCTACTGTTCCCGGGCCAGTGCCAGTTTCTGGGCTCTTGGCGGGAGTCTTGCTCGGGCTCTTTTTGGCCATTTCGGGGGAAGCAGTTGTCGGCCCTGCTGAGACTGCAGTGGCAGCTCCGGCCTCGGGGACATGAGCTGCAGAAGCAGGAGGAGTGAAAGGGACAGTCATCTCCGCCATACCCCTCACTTGATCGAGTGTATCCCAGCATAAGCGAAGTTGGTCCACAACAGCCTCTTTTTGGGCAGAGTGCTGCCACAGAGCACGGGCAACATCGTTCATATCACTGATGTTGAGGAAGGCTTGTACTAACGCGCCGGCCGGAGGGTCCACGTCGGGGTTCGTAGGCCAAGGCACGGAGGCGGCGCGGGACGGGTAAGGGGCGAACAGCGTGCGCGGGGGGACATGTGGGGGGCTAGTAAGGGTAACGTATAGGGCGTTGGGCGAGCAGCAGGCCGAGAGGGATAAGGGTAACTCGCGTTTATATGCCAGGGGCGTAGGCCGACTGGTGAGGTCGTCCGTGAGCAAAAGAGACTGTACGAGTCTCAGTTCTCCCCTACGGGCTCGGATCTCAGATTTACCAAGGCGCGCTTCGGGACCGGTGTGGATGAGCCCTAGTAGCAGCTTGCCTGTGCGTGCACCGCGAGGATCAGGAAGGAGGTTGATGACGTGGTCTGGGAAGGTGCGGGAGGCGAGTAGCGTCGGAGCCTGGGTCATCCGTTAGTCAGATCACGGGGTATGAAACGAGACGATGAGGTAGAGGGACGCACCCATTCCATCAACTCGTCCTTTTCTGGCAAATTGGAAGGATCGTCGACCATGTCTATAAACGCACTGCACAACGATACAGGCTCTCGCTGGAACTTCCACAACCTGAGCGTGCTAGTCGGAGGCGAGGGATCCGCTATATGTAGAAGAGTGCGCTCAGCGTCGTTCATGATAGATATGGGAAGACAAACCGTATTGGTAGTCGATGAACGTCGCCAGCAAGCCTAAGGCCTCTTCTTCCTCACCCTGCTCCTCAGCAGGAGCCTCGGGGGGAGTGAACATATCCTCCTCCTTGTCTTCCTGCTGGGATAAACGCGAGAGCGATAAGGGAAGGAAATCCAGGCCCGTGAGATGAGAGGAAGCGGGAGCGTCGTGTGCTATCGGTGCGAGGGGGGAGCATGTCACACCTAGAATCGTCTGATCAGTCCAGTCCCGCAAAGGAGCTAACAAGCGAGACTCACTCCATCTGTGGCCCGTCAGTCTCAGCCTAATCTCGCATAACTGTAGGGATTCCCTCCACGCTTCCCCTACAGAACTCACGTCCGCCTCCTGCTGCCTCGGGACGAGTCCCCCCTGAGCGTCCCCAAAGGAAGGGTCGAGGAGGGAGAGGCTCATCCCTGCCTGTGCTGGGGGTGAGCCAACATACGACAGCTGGGTGGCGATGAGAACCCCTTGCTCGTTCGGTATGTAACCTATTGCTGCTCGGAGGACGCGAGCCGAACGTGGGTGGGCCTTGGAGAGTTCGTCTTGGCCATCCGGAGAGCCCGCGAATCGTTCATACGGTTGGCCGAGGGGAGAGCGGACGAGTGCCACGCGCCCGGTGTTGTTGCCGATTGGTCGGGTGCAGAGCTGGAGGTTGTTGGAGGCGAGGATGAGGAGCAGGTGTGACACGTTGGGCGAGGATTCTGGACCGGAAGGAGGGGGACGAAGGACGGAGAACCCTGAGGCGCTGGGGGAGGGGACGGTGTAATACTATTTTGGAACGGTTAGAGAGAACCGGAGACGGGGGGAAAGATCATACGTCTCGGTCCTGGCCTATCCATTTGCCACCGACGACAGCATCAACGGGAGAGACGGCCCATACGGTCGCCACGGTCCAGCAATCAACTTCGCTTGCTCTATCCACTGATCTCTCCAAGTTCCGTTCCCATATCACCGCAGCGCCATTCTCAGCCCCTCCCTGCATGTTGGTCGTAGGCCCGCCCTCGATGCCCACCCGCTCGCCCATGCGGGAAGAGGGGAAGTAAGCGAAAAGATGGTTATCAGTCGGTGCGAGGAGGAGTATGGATGCAGGAGAGTAGTCAGAGGCGTTCAGGGCGATTGTATCTGGTGAGGGAAGGGTAAATTGGTGCAGTTTTTGAGGTGCGGCGGAAGTGGAGAGAATGGGGATGCGGCCGACGATGTACGGCTGACTGGGGTGGGCTGATAGAATTGTATTCGCTTTGGTCCATACTATGGGACTAAGCAACAAGATTCAGTATATCCTCACCGCAGATAATATAAGTGTGCACCGTTGCTCGCCATCAACCAGCGTTTGGACATCTTCCCATCCCAGCGAACGACCGTGATGTTCCCCTGACAGTCGTTTGCGCTTAAGACTCCCTGTAGGCGTCGGATGACCGAGCGACGACATGGGAGTCATGGTAATTTGAGGATGTACATGCGCCAGCTTGAAGATGATCAGGAGGGGGGGAGGTGAGAGGAGGAGGAGGAGGAGGATGTGGGTGGGAAGATGAACAGAGGGAGGACCGCGGGCGCTTGTTGAGTGTGTGTGGCGCATCGTCGGAGTTTAGGTGATAAGGGCTCTCTCCTAACGCCGAATATATTTTATGAGCGTGATTCACCCTTCGAGGATTGTAAGGACTGCTAGCATTGTTCAGTTGTTTATTTCTTGTATACCCTTTGTAACGTTCATCCACTGTCAAGCAATCATGGGTGTATTAGAAAAGGCGCGCACAATCCTAACTACTTACTGCTGTTCAGCTAACAAGCACTCAGATCAAGGAGATCGAGGGTGCGCACTTTCCTGTCATCGGGCCCGAGGAGACTAACCTCAATGGCAGAGGAGATGGCCCGCAGTACGTTCCTCCCATCCCCCGCTTAATAGTACCAACACCCTCCCAGCGCAGAAGAACAAGGTCCTACTCGTCCCGCTCTCTATCAGCACCGCGCTGAACGATATGCTAGGCGACGGAGTATCATCTCGGGCTTCTGAAGGCCAAGCTAGCGCGGTACAGAGCCCAACTACTAGAGCCCACATCAAAAGGCGGCAAACCTGGAGAAGGGTTCGACGTGATGAAGTCCGGAGGTACGACCTGGGTACCGCTCTCGGACAGCTGCTGACGTTCGGTCGAGATGCGAGAGTTGCGCTCATCGGGTTTCCTTCTGTTGGGAAGAGCACGTTCTTATCGAAGATGACCCGCACTGCATCGGCAGTAGCAGCATACGAGTTTACTACTCTTACTGTGTGTCCCCTGCTTCTCCTTTCGAGCGCTGACGCTGACCGGTCCTCCGTTAGGCCATTCCCGGAGTAATAGACTACCAAGGCGCCCGGATCCAGCTACTCGACCTACCAGGTATAGTAGAAGGAGCCTCGCAAGGTCGCGGCAGAGGGCGCCAAGTAGTGAGCGGTACGCGCCTCCCTCTCACCCAAGAGCACCCACTCACTGCACATCCCCGATATACCTGTAGTCGCTAAGACTGCAGATCTGATCATCATGATGCTGGACGCTACAAAGTCGCATGAACAGCGCCGACTGCTCGAGGTGGAGCTTGAAGCTGTGGGAATCAGGCTGAACAGGGCTAAACCTGACGGTGTGTCTGTCCCCTTCCTCCCCTCCCCCACCCTGGTTCCTCGAAGGAAGCTGACCGGCACACAGTGGTATTCAAGCAGAAATCCGGAGGAGGCATCGTCGTGCGTTGGGTTTCCCTTCAGAGTTACTGCACATGCTGATCGAATCCGAGATAAACGCTACTGTAAAGCTGACCAAGATTGACGAGAAGGCCGTGCGGACCGTCTTGTCAGGATACAAGATCCACAACTGCGATGTGATGATCCGCGAGGACGTTCGTCCCCCCGTTCCCTCCCATGCGGGCGTTGATCGATGTTCGCGTAGATCACGATAGACGAATTCATCGACGTCCTTATCGGGAACCGGAAATACATACCCTGTCTCTACGTGTACAACAAGGTGGATTCTATCTCGCTAGAAAGGGTGGAGCAGCTGGCGCAGGAAGATCACTCGGTAGTGATAAGCTGTGAGATGGGGCTCAAGTGTGTCTTTCCCACCTTGTTCGTGAACATGCTGACTCTGGGGTACTGGCAGCCTCGATTATCTCCTAGAACAGATGTGGGAGGTCCGTCCTCCCTCCCCCCCTCTCCCCAGAGCCTACTAACCGCAACCCAGGAACTCGGGCTCGTCAAGATCTATACCAAAAAACGCGGTACCCACCCAGATCTGCACGACCCCATCTGTCTCCGACGCGGCGCAACCATAGAACACGTCTGCCACGGGATCCACCGTTCCCTAGCGTCCAAATTCAGATATGCGCTCGTCTGGGGTAAGTCGTCCAAGTTTAACCCGCATGCGCAGAAGGTGGGGTTGGGACATGCGGTGGCGGATGAGGATGTGGTTAGCAGTGAGTGTGTTTGGATGTTGTACATGGGTGTGGGTGCTTATGGGTACAGTTTTTACAAAGTAGGGCCGTGCGTCGTGGATATGGGTGAGGCAGTGAGGTGAATTGAAGTCTGTTGTATCTGTATCTCGGGCAAGAGAACATGAAGAATCAAATTTCCTGCTAGATGGATGTGCTTCTCAGACAGCCCCGACGGGCACGGTCTATCCAAGTATATTCCTGGGGTTTCGAGAATATGCAAAGCTGGTGGAACTGTGAGCGGTTGGATCTGGCCCAAGGTTTCCGGCCGCGCAGCAAGTCGACATGGTGCGGGTCTACTGATTGTGCAGACGCAAAGAACACGCTGCTTCCCCACGTTCAAACCTAGAACCTGCATGAGTTGAGCTCGCAACATCTCCCGTACACACCTTGATCATACACCAAAGGGTGATCCCCTCCCTGTCCTCCCCCAGCACCCCCTCGGGAGTCACCTCCCCCCTGCCCAAGTTCACCTGCTCGAGGAGCTCGAACCCCAGGTGCAGGTACACGTCACGCGATTTAGGGGTGCTCGACTCGAGCAGCATGGGCTTCTCTGGCCAGCGGGAGTTGGCGGCGGACATGAGCAGGGAGGTGTATCCTGTTGACGTCTGGTTGGCCAGGGTGTGTGAGGAGGGAGGTACTGTACGGTACGTACCTCTGCCTTGCTCGGCAGGGTCAACACAGATGTTCACAAGATACCACGCATCCTTCATCTCCAGTCCTCGTCTCTCCATCTCCTGGCGAAACACCTTCTCGCACCGGGGAGTATACTGGTAGTCCATCCGCTGCTCCCTATAGTCAGTAAGAGGAGAGGGAAGGGGAAAGAGCGAACTGAACTTGGATCCCAGTCCAGCCCCAGCGGAACCAGGATTTCCACAGTCCGCTGCGGAGGGCGAGCCATGTGCTGCCCACATCCCGATCAGCGGGGAGCCACATCGCCCAACCGCAGAGTCTTTCCCTTTCCCCAAGTTGAACGCTCTTCTCTGTCGGCTCTTCCTCCTCCAGAAGACGGAAAACGACGTCCACCCACCCATCTTTCTGGTACAACACCGTCCCCGTTAGACCTAAGAAGAACACTCTCAGGCTCTCGAAGCAGTACGCGAGCTTCCCCGTTGGAGAGATGGGGATGGGGCAGGGAGCGCTGCCGAACCAGTTTAGGCATGGGTCGGTGCGGAATGCGCGGGCTTGGACGTGGGAGAGGAGGATGAGGTCGGAGGGGTTTAGGGGGGGAACGTGTGCAGGAGGAGGAGACATTGGGTTGATGAGCAGAGGTGAAAGTAGTATTCATTAGTGAATGTATTACATTAAAGGAAAGTCATTGTTATCGGAGTTAGTGTCCATCATGACTCTCTTATGGCCGACATGATTGCACCCGTGAAAGTTTGCAGCAAATGCATTTTACGCGTACTCCTCCATCTTTCTCTCCTTTTCTCTCACAAACGACCTCCTCGCCGCGTCCTTCCAGACGTAACTGCTTCACCTTCAAGTATTGCGGTAGACAGCTAGGAGGAAGAGGGATAATCCTCAGAAGGGGAGCCCAATTAAGCCGGAGCCTCTCCTTGGGCGCGCTTTACCTTTATTGGAAAGCTCGTGTGGGAGATGATGCTTGACTATGCGGCTCCGACAGATATTTTCTCTCCGTTAATGAGGAGTGTAAACTGTATAATTTTCACTCTTACCATTACTGTTGATATTGAATATACCTTCTTGAAACAGCTATTTACCCGCAGATGGTAACAATCACATGACCGCTACACGACGGTTGTCACTCTTCTCCTCGTCGTCTCCCTTCCCTGAGAACAAGGCAACGATCACCTCCCCACCCACTTTAATCGCACTGTTTGCCCATCAACGATGGTATATGTCTGATATCGTTGCTCTGCAAAAGAATACCCGGTGGGGCGGTGGGACTCCATAGGCCCACTTCTCGCTGTCAACGACGACCAGGGATGAAGAGCTCATGGGCAGTACTGGTAGCTGGGCGGAACGTTCCGCTCACTCAATGCATATGCAACTGAATTGATCGCAAAATAATACACCTTCTCGCCTCTGAGTCGTCTCGGTCGTTTTCCTCTCTGCTTTCCACCTCGAGGGGTTGGCGAGCAAGTCGTCTTTCATTCCTGTTCCCTCTGAGGCCTGGTGGCAGGCCCACTTACTATCACTCTTTACGTAGCTCTGCTGGGCAGAGGTCATCGACATACATCGCACGTTAACCTGCAAGACTACGCCCTTTCTTTCGTTCAAGATGTACGCATTGTGGAGTGTGCGATACGCAGTGGTCGACTTTTTCCGGACTTTCGTGCGTCCTCCTTACAACCCCAGTTGAACCCAAGCTCATCTTTTCCAGTGGACGAGGATCACCGTCTCACGGCTCGTTCTCGCCTACTTCCTCCTCGCCCTCCTGACCAGCGCCGTCCAAACCGGCCTCCAAGCCCGCGCCTTCCTCGTAAACCGCAACGCCGCCTCCCTGTTGGACAACATCATCCTCACCGCCCAGCTGCCCGACAACGACGTGACGACATTCAACGGCACCGTGTTGCAGCTGTGTGATGGCCAGCCGCAGGTGCCAGGGCAGTGCGAGGTCGTCTGGGCAAAGACGGGGGAGGTGATTAGCGGTGGGCCGGTCATGGTAGAAGGGGGGACGACGTTTAGCGTGACTACGTCGACCACGAATGCCTCCCCCGCACCGACCGACGTGTCAGCGACGAAGCAGACGATCGCCCAGCTCTCGAGTGTGCTCAGCGCCCCCGCCCCGACTGCTACTGCCTCCCAGGCTGCGCCTACCATTGCAGTAGTCGACGGGGACGGAGATCATTATTACAGCAACTACCCCATCCCTGGTATAGAGCACAACCTGCGCGTAAGTACCCTCCCTCCCTCTCCCCGGTGGCCTAGCTGACCAGCAACCAGCCCCGAGCCTTCATCGCCATGCTCAACTCCTCCTTGGTCTTCATCGCCGACACCGCACTGTCCTTCGACTCCGAGCCCGTCGACAGCGCGACGATCACCACCGACTGTGCGCGTGTCCTCATCTGGCCATTCCAGCAACTAGCGCAGACCAAGCGCCGGGACGCGTTCTTCATCACCTTCCAGCTCTGGGTGCTAGGTATGAGCCTGCACGCCCTGTACGCCGAGAGCATCCCTAGCGTTATCGCCGTGTTTGTTACTCACCTGTTTGCGACGGGCTGGACGGCGTATGAGGTGGTGCAGACTGCGATGTTTAGGGCAAGCTTTCTCGCTATCACACAGAACAGTGCGTGCAACGGGGTTAACCTGCTCCCAAACTACTGGGTAGCGAGAGGCGCTGTCGAGGTGCGTCCTCCCCCACACACAGCTACCCAGAGCACCCAAAGCTAACTCGCGCAGATCCCAACCCTCATCATCAACTGCCTCACCCTCGTCGTCTCCGCCTACCTGACATGGAAGCTCGTAAAACGTTTCGGCTGGCAGACGTTCAAGCGTATCGGCGCCTCCATCCTCATGCACCGATACTACCAGCTCGTGCTCATCCTCTCCGTCTCTATCCAGCTCTCCACTTTCTTCCTTGTCGCTTTTATGGCCCTCTGGATCGACCAGCTCTGGAATGGCGCTATTGGCCACTTTAACCATCACGCGACTGGATTCCAGGCTGGGTTCATCGTTCTCATCATCTTGACTCCTATTTGGCTTGTTGCTGTACGCATCTCTCCCCTTATTCTCACACCCTGTGCCTGACGAGTGGTGACAGGGCTGGACCGCAGTGTACAAGGAATGGCGGCGCCTGATGACAGGCTTCCTCGCCTTCGCAGGGCTCACCACCGTCCTCTTCCCCTTCTTATTTATCTCCCCAACATTCCGTCTCACCTTCCAGACATGGAGCTTTTTCGCCACGCAGGCCGTGTTTGCCATCTCGCTCGAGGTGACCACCCTCGTGCTAGGCATCCTTTGCCGTCTGAACTTTGGCAACGGCTTGCTCGACTATCGTAAGTCTGTGTGCAAGACTCGCGTAATGCATGCTAATATTGGGATAGTCGCGGGTCCAATTGCTGATGATGACAGCGATGCGTTCATCAGAGGGTTACCGGAAGACACGGAAAAGATCCATTTCCCGAGCATGTCCCACCTGCCTACATTCTCAGACCGCGCCTTCACTGACCAAGCCTTCTCTTCGCGTTCTTTCTCTCCTACTCCCTCGTCTGATTTCCAAGTCACGGAACGATCTGACGATCACCGAAACATGGCTTTTGTTACTCTTACGAGGACGGCTACTGCCGATACGATGACGACGGACAGACCGCCGTTCCTCCCCACCCCAACCATCAAATATCCTGCCAGAACAGTATCACCCCTCGCTCGTACCCAAACCCAGAGCAGCGACAGCTCCGGGTGGTCAGGACGGAGCAGTGTAGACAAAGATCATAGGCGTGTGATATTGGAGTAAACATATTTACTTATCCCGTCGGACGTACATTGCTATTTGTAGTTCTGGATCTTCCGCAGGCTTCGGGAGAAATGCATGTTTATTCTCCGCTCTGGTACAACGTTCTTTGAAGTTCACTTTTATAGCTACAATGGTCCATGGTATCTTGTATGGATACAAGGTAAAAGAAGACAGCCAATGAATGCGGCTGCAGAAACAGAACAACAGATCGTGGGAATTACGGTGCGAGGAAGATGCCTTCGCCATTCTCATTGGGGGTGATATCTGGAGGTGATTCAGACTTCATGACCGCTGTCTCCTCCTCTTCAATCTTCTGTGCTTGACGAGCCACGGTAGCCATCTCGAAATGCTCGCTAACATTGGTATGCGAAGTAGTCATACTTGGGGTCGCAATACTGACAACCTCGTCTTCCTCATACTCCAACATTTCGTCTCTGAAGTCTGCAATCCAAGGATGTTCCATCAACTCTGCTGCTGTAGGACGATGGATGGGATCGATAGTCAGGCACCGATGAATGAAATCAATTCCGAATTCGCTTAATTGGCTTGGATCGGGAAGTGGTGGCGGTTTCGCAGCGACTCCGATATGAAACATGATGGCCCTGCGTCTACCTCAGAATGGTGCAATTAACTGAATGTAAACCGACTTACCACTCGTTGTCCAAATTGCTCCAGGGCTTCCTCCCGGTGGACATCTCAAGCACTACACAGCCCAAAGACCATATATCCATAGCACCCTGGCGCCCTCTTCGATCGTTCTTGATAACCTCCGGAGACATGTACATCGGAGTACCAGTCAAACTATTCGCCCCAAAACCGGAGGGGAATCCCGGCGGCGGTGGGGCAGGTGGAAAGTGTGGTCGGTCGTGAGCATGGTGTCCGACAGGATGCTGATGCGCACGACTGGCCAAAGTCTTTTGCTTTTTGCCGAGGATCTTAGCTGCGCCAAAATCGACGTATTTGATTACGCCCATGTGGTCCAAAAGGATATCTACGACAGTGGTCAGGCGTGAATCAGGTCAGACTTCGGGGTACTCACTGTCAGGTTTGATATCCCGATGAACCACTCCCTTCGAGTGCAGGTAACTGAGCCCTTCCAACATTTGCAGGGTGTACACCTGGATGATCCTCTCATCCTCGATTCTTCCATGCTCGAGCAGGCTGGCCAAGCTACCACCTTGACAGTACTCTTCGAAGATGTAGACCTTGTCCCGGTGTACCTCGATGCCGTAGTACTCGACGATGTTGGGATGAGAGAGCATCTCCATGACCGACAGCTCGTCCTTAACGCCCTTGTACAGTGTCGACAAGCTATTAACGTCACTGAAACGGATCTCCTTGACCGCCATCAGACTACCAGAATCGAGATTAACGCCGAGGTATACGCTGCCGAACGCGCCAGTGCCGACAAGCCGACCTTGCTGCCAACGCATAGCGATGTTGGAGGAAGACGAAGCGAGGAACATGAGTGTTTTATCTTCCGGTCGTTCCTCATTGATGACCTTGCCAGTAATGCGCTGTTCAGCTTCGAGCTTCGCTCGGCGCAGGTCCAGCTCTTGCAACTGGCGGAGCCAGCTCTCATCCCTATTCAAGCGGATACTTCGGTCTTCTCCCCAGTTCGAGACCGCAAGGGGGTCATACTGCATCGAAGGCTGGGCGACCAACTCGTCCACATCGCGCTTCGCATGTGCTTCTTCCTGCCGTTGCCTGAGGGCGCTGAGCCGCTCCTGCTCGCGCTGGGATGCCTCGAGGTTCGATCGCGCGCCAAGGATGTCGAAATGGCTGATCAGGAGTGTCATGCAAGTCGCCACTTTGCTCCTGAGGAGATTAAAGTCCGACTCAGGCAAGTTCAAAATATTGCTCCCTCTCGTCCGAAGTGTCGCAAACTCCAAAGCGTTCACCGCCCAGCGAAAGGTCCTCCTATCAGACGGGTCGCACTCGTCGCATATAAAGCTCACATAAGCGATGGCAAGCTTCATCAGTTCCCTGTTGAATTTCTGCCACGAGCCATGGTCCATATGCTTCTGCGCCTGCTGACCGTTTTCCGCTGCGAAAGCATACCAATTCGCTAGGAGCTCTTGCCGGTGCTCGACCCCTTCCAGCGTCTCAGACACCCGATGGACAGACTTGGTGATCGCTTCCGCCAACCGGTTGGTAGAGCGGGTGATACGCCGCAGCTGGCGGTCGACACGCGGATGATGGGCCTGGAGGGGGATGATACAAAAGTCGCTCGCGCCTTCGAACGCGTCGCCGTTGACTGACTCACTCCCGTCCGAAGTAGGGGAAAGGAGGTTCTCAGGCCGGATACTGCGCATTATCTCCCCGAACCGGTCTTTGGCTCTTGCGAGCCGAAGCTGGGGGCCGTCCGCAACCAGTCGGACGCGTTTCTCCGCGAGCTCGAACACCTGCTTCTGGGTGTCAAAAACCATTACGTCCCCCGTCCAGACGAAGCGTTCTCCGGGAGTGATAAGCAGTAGGTAGCTCTCAGTCGACGCCCCTTCCTCGTCCTCCTCGTCCAGCCCACTTCCGTCCGTGACCTGCTGTTTCCCAGGCCCGACCTCAACAGGCTGAAACGTCCGCTGGAGGATATCGTGTATCAAATACGGGCGATTCCTCAGACTAGGGTCAGCGATGATGTATATCCCATCTTCTTCGTAGTTCTCGCAGTAGACAAGCAGGTGCCCAGTACCGACAAGAGCGTTGATGAACCTGTCCACAGGGAGGTGGGCAATCGAGTACTCAGCAGCATTGGTGAATCGCTGGCCAAGGACGCGGCCAAACCGCTGGAGCTTGCGGTAGCGCAATCGCACACTGTCGAGCACGGTATTGTACCAGTCTAGGATTTGGTCTTCGCCCATTGGCCGTTCGCGCTCTTTCATCACGGGGACGGCGTTGGCGCGCTCCAGCCTGGGCCGGAGGGGGTGGTTACGCGGGGACTGGCGGGAACGGGAGTCCAGGGCGGGCTTGTAGACCGGTAGACTAAGTTGGGCCTCGAAGAGGTTTACGACGCGAGCCATGAGCTTGTTCGTCACTGAGCTGCGGGGGGTTTGGTCCTTCCGCCTACACGTTCAACAATCGGGGAACGCACCATACATGCTCAGCGACGAGCAGACTCCCGCCCTCGGTCACCAAGCTCACGGCGGTAAACAGTGGCCACTGGGCTTCGAGCACATCCACTTCCTTGAAGTATATCCTACTCGCCGTCTTAAGCTTCCAATGGATAAGCTTGAAAAGGAACCTCAGGGCCTCCAGTAGGACCTCGTCGTACGCCTCGCTAATACAGCTAGGGAGGACCCATAGACCCGCCTCGTCCTGCCTCAGAAACTCCTCATACTCCTGCTTGATCGTGCAGGCAAGAGCAATCGAGAGTGCAAAGTCGTCCAGCATCTGGTCGACGACGAGTATGGAGGGCTCGTTCACTTTCTTGCCAGAGTCGAGCCGGACGCGAAGGGTCGCTTCCATAAGTTTTGTCGGGAAGGCGATGAGGGATACCAGCTCTGGCTCCACCCCCGGGAGACCGATGGTCCGGTACAGCAAGCCGTAGGAAAGGATCGTCTCGCGGGCATTGTCGACCACCCAGTGGGAAGTGACGAGCGTCGCGCGCTCAAGCGTCTTCTGCAAACTATCTTCCTTAAGCACACGCTCGACGAAGCTGCTCTCATCCTGGAGTTCCCCTCCAGGTCCGAGCATATGTCCTGCGGGCCCGTTGGGGGAAAACGATCTCCGCACGGGCTGTTCCTGGGATGTATGCCTCTGCCAAACATCCATCGTCTCGCTCCCTGTCCATTTCTGGATCCCCTGGATGCGCCAGCGAAGACTGACGACCATACGGACATAGGCGTTGAGTGCGTCGACCCGGTGAAGAAAGTCGGAGTGATCAGAAGCGGGGTACTCGCCGTGCATGCTCTTCAGGTCTGGATAGAGAGATTGGGCCATATCGAGCCTGTCGAGGAGGGCGACGGTCTGGTCGAACGCGGACGGCATGCCAGGAGCAGTGGACACGCGGTAAGTAAGGATCTCGTCAATCGCCGGCTGGACAGTTCGCATCCTGCGTTCCTCGAGCCGCTTTCTCTCTTCGTCTTCTGTCCTCCCTCGAAGCCTAGCGCGTAACCCGAGCCAGATATCCAACGTTCGTCGCTTCGCTTCGTCCCGGCCCTCGTCGCTCGTGCTCGCAATCCGCGTCTTCTCCATGCGTAATACGTCTCCCTCGAGCACACTAGCGAGCATCGTCTGCCATTCCAGGCGTTCCCGCTCCTCGTCCGTGTGGGGTAGGACAGGCTCTCCATCCCCCAGCTCCGCAGCGAACCTATCAAAGACCGGTACACCTGCTGCTCCGCTCGCACGCAACGCGAGTGGTCGATCCTCGTCATCACTGTCAATGTCGAGCGGTGCGACCCAGCCAGACCCAGCAGACTCGTACTCGTCCGCCGGCTCGCGCCTATATCTTCTCGCAAAGTCTGCAAAGACGCTCTGGTACCTCGTTAGCGGAGCCCCGTCTTTCCCTACTCCGGGTGTGCTGTCTCCTGATACAGAGGGAGGATAGGATACAGCAGGACGGGGACGCTGACGCTGTGATCGGAGGCCGGAGCTGGAGAGTGAGCTTGAGGATGTGTAGGTCGTTGGACGTGGACGGCGTGGAGTTTCTGTGTATGGTGAGTCTGAGTCTTCTGGGTGAGGATATAGAGTTGGTGCATGAGGAGGAGGACGGTTACGGTGTGGCATGGTGGTAAGAGAGAGAGGAGGAGGAGGAGGAGAAGAAGGATGAAAGGGATGTAAAGGAGATGACTGGATGTTGTGCAAATGACGCGCACATACCGTCAGGGACTGAAAAGTCATTGGGTCATCACTCGTTAGTAACACACCGTGAACGACGAGGAACACAGAACACACACAGTCGAGTTCACGCAGATGTAGAGGAGAGAAGCAGGCGGGGCAATATGCCCGAATACATTCGACATCAGCCATCAAGGCTGGAGAGAGAGAAATCTAGCTAGAGTACAGGCAAATGAATACAAGAGTTCTGAGACACAAGAGTGACGAGGAAAGAAGAAAGAGACGAGAGAGATGAGAGAGAAATGGGAAAAGACGAGAAAAAGATGAGAAAGAAGAGAGATAAAATGACAAGTCCGGGACAGGAAGAAAGAAGACGACTGCAGAGAAACCCGCCCTGCAGCGCATCTGCTCACTCCCCTTTACCCTTTTACCCCCTGCAGCCAGCGAACGTCCCTCACCAGCCCAAGGTTCACTTCTTCGCACTCCTCAACATCCGTGTTGACACACCTGCCCTAGCAGGTACAGGTGCTTTGTCTGTCGATCCAGTCCCGGACGCCTTGGGCTTGCCTTTCCCACGCATGGGCTTAGGCTCCTCAACCCCCGGCTCTGCTTCAGGGACAGCCTTCGACCTCTTCCTGACCGAAGCAGTCTTCTCCGCCCGAGCAGCAGCAGCTTTCGCTGCCTCCTTCTTCCCCTCTGTCGCTCGAGCAGTCGAGCTCTTCTTCACAGGCTCCTTGGCCTTCCTCGTCGTCTTCTTCTCAGCAGCAGGTTTGACGGTCTTCCCCTTCCCAAGCGCAGACTCGGGCTCCTCTGCTTCCACACGATCGGGCTTCTTCCCTCCCTTCGTCTTCTTCTGCACAGCGGCCTTCTTCCCAGCCCGGGCCGCAGCAGCTTTTGCAGCCTCCTTCGTCGCTCGGGCAGAAGACGTCTTCTTCCCCTCAGGCTGCTTCTTCTTCGCAGGAGCCTTGGAGCTGGATGCCGCAGTTGACCTCGTCGACCGGCCAGCAGCTGGCCGGACGTCCTCTTCCTCTCTCACATCGCTTTCTTCCTGCTCATTCTCCTCTTCTTCAGCAACAGCGCTGCTCTTCCCAGTCTCGTGCTTAGGATCCTCCGCCTTCGCCCGAGAACTGGCCTTCGACCTCGTCCTGGCCGTTTTCTCAGCCTGGGCAGCAGCCGCCTGCTTGCCCTTCGTAGCCCTAGCCGTGGATGTCTTCTTCCCAGCAGGCTGCTTCGTCTTCACAGGAGCTTTGGACTTGGACACTGCAGCCGATCTTGTCGACCGGCCAGCAGCTCGCTGGACGTCCTCTTGCTCTCTCTCACCGCTTTCCTGCTGTTCATCCTCTTCCTCCTCTGCGGGAGTGCTGTCCTTCCCAGGCTCAAGCTCAGGCTCAGGCTCGGGCTCGGGCTCAGGCTCGTCTGCCTTCGCCCTAGAACCAGCTTTCGATCTTCTCCTGGCCGTCTTCTGAGCTCGTGCAGCAGCTTCTTTAGCAGCAGCTTCCTTGCTCTTCGTAGCCCGGGTAGAAGAGGTCTTCTTACCCGCAGGCTGCTTCGCCTTTGCAGGCAGTTTGGACTTGGCTGCTGCTGCGGGTTTGGTCGATGGGCCTGCAGCGAGCTGGGCGTCGACTTCCTCCTCCTCGTCGCTCTCGCTCTCGACCTTCTCTTCGGTTTCACCCTTCTCCTCGGCTTCACCCTTCTCGTCGGTTTCACCCTTCTCCTCATCCTCTTCTGCAGAGATACCCTTCTCCTGCACAGACGCAGGCTCTTCAGTTTCTCCTTCCCCTTCAAGAGGTACAACCTTCCTCCCCTTCTTCTGAGCTCGCGAAGCTGCTGCTTTTGCAGCAGCTGCCTTGCCCTTCGTCGCCCGAGCTGTTGAAGTTTTCTTTGCAGGTTCCTTGCCCTTGCTTGTCGCCTTTTTCGACGCTGCAGCCTTGGTATTCGAAGGACCACTGACTGGTTGAGCGTCCTCTCCATCCTCCTCATCCTTGTCGTCTTCATCATCAGGAGCATCAGGAGCAGCAGCAGCAGCAGCGACCGGCTCAGGTTCCTCATTCACTTCTGCTTCATCAGCCTTTGCCTTCGTCTTCCTCCCCTTCTCTACTCGAGTGGAAGCAGCTTTAGCAGCTGCTTCTTTCCCCTTCGTCGCTCTTGTCGTCGACGTCTTCTTGCCCACAGGCTCCTTCTTCGATGCAGCTCTCTTCGGCCTAGCAGGACCCGGATCTTCTGCCGGCTCAGCAGCTTGCGCAGCCCTAGTGACGGATCCCGTAGATCGCCTCGTCGGTTCTTCTTCAGTCTCGATAAGAACGTTGACCGGGCTGCGTGTAGGCTGTGGCTGTGGCAGATCTTCAGGCGAGGGAGCAGAGGCACGGGGTCGCCCTACTGGGAGCTCGGGGCTAGTGGCTGGCTCGGGGGAGGAGGGACGTGATTCGGGGGTGTTGGACCGGGAGGGTGCATCAACGATGATGGCTTCGAAGTGGATATGTTCAGGACGGAGAGTTGGAGCCGGGGGACTGTCTGCGGTGCTGCGTTCGAGGGCAGGAGATGCAGGACGGGGCGTCAGGGGTGTAGGAGGTGGAGAGGGTGTAGGCGGGAGAGTGAGGGTTGTAGGAGGCGCAGGAGGGAGAGTACGAGGAAGGGGAACTGCTTGGACCGCAACTTCGGACTCACCGTCCCTCTCAGGGACGGTATCCTCGCTCCTCCTCCTGCCAGTATCCCTCCAAGGCGCGGCTGTAGTAGAAGCAGGAGGCAACGGGGTAGGTGCGGGAGGCGGTACGACGGTATGAGAGGCAAATGGGACAGTGTGAGGAGCCAAAGGGGGTGGGAGAGCGAGAGGAGGAGGAGAAAGGGCCATGACAAGACGTGCATGGACTCGTGGGTCCAGGTGAGGGTTGTGCGTCACACGTATTGGCCGCTGCAAGCCGAGCCGGCGTATCTTGGCTGGAGGGCTACGGTCCTCCCTCGCAGGTGGGGGAAGAGGTACTTCCGGGGTAGGATTCCCCTCGTCGGTCGCCATGTCGTCCCTCCTTCTCTTGCCTGTGACGGGAATGGTTGGCTCTACCTCATAGACACGTCCGCTGGCTGACCGGGGTGCAGCTGGGGGCTCATGGGTGACGTACGTGGAGGGGCCGGCGCTGTCTTCTCTCATCATGTTCCGGAACAGCTCGGGGTGAAGCGTGGAATCGACTCTTCCTGCGGTTGGGCCCCAATCCTGCCTAGGATATTCCAGGGCTGGGTTGATCTCATTCGCGGCCATGGCACGCAACCACTCCTCTTCTAAGTATGCTTGCCCATCTCTAGTGTACCGTACGTTGGGGATGGGGATGGAGAGGCCGGCGATGGGGATGGAGGGGCCGGCGATGGGGATGGAGGGGGCGGGGATGGGATTGGAGGGGCCGGCGCTGCCTTCCTGGGGAGCAAGACTAGGCTCCTCTTCCTCCGTCTTGATATGATTGAGAGCAGGACTCCTCGAGGGACTTTTAGACAGCTGGGTTGAGGGCTGGGGTGAGGGCTGGGTTGCGGGCTGGATTGCGGGCTGGGTTGTGGGCTACCTCGCGGTGATCGCTGGTCCCAAAGCGACTGAATCATAGTCAGCATCGAGCTTACACAATGAAACAGAGAGAAACATGCCTGTTGACCGTCCTGCTGCATGCCTGTCTGCTCGGGCAATTGGCAGTGCTCGCCTGAGACGCCGGAGTCCGGGATCGTCTTCCTCTTCCGAGTCCAAGTCGGCTTCTCCTTGGTGTTCCCGCATGTAGCTGGATTCTGAGAAGTGGAATCCACGGTTGATGGCCCCCGATGAGATATCTTGCATGCGGGTGGGAGGGGCTGAGAAGGCGCTGAAGATGTGAATGTGGCGGTTGGGAGGGGCAAATGTATCGCGCTCGTGCTCAGGTTCAGGTTCAGGCACGGGCTCAGGTGCAGGCTTCGACTCTTGATAGTTGGAGTCGTCGTCGGAATCGACGACGACGGGTACAATTTGCTTCGCTTGTTCTTTACCCTGGTGAATGAACTGGGAGATACGCAGAGAGGAATGAGGGGGAGCTCCATTAGCGGGGAAATTGCTCGGCCCTGCTATGGGAGGAAGGTAAGAGTCAAGTTCTTCCTCTCCTCGCTCGAAATAGCGTGAACCGGGTACAGTCGAGGTGGTTGGGACACTTTCACCTTCAGGAACAGAACGTCCTCGGTTGGCCGGTATCAGATAATGTTCAACCCTGCTTTCGGAGGCTTTGGCCTTCCTCTCGGGGCGTTTCAGCAACCTAGAAAGCCCGGCGGCGATTTGCTTCTGCTTCGCATTGAGAATGGATCTGCCTTCACCGGACTGCCCATATACATTATTAGTAGGAATATTTTGCATAGAGGAAGCCGATGCGTACGTGAGGGGCATCCAGATGTGCAGAACTAGGCGGCACTGACACCGGCAGGGTAGAGGCTACGCCCGCATTGGTACGAGTGCTGTCATTCTCTGAGTCAGAGGCGACGGTGCGAGAGAGTTGTGAGTCCATTTTAAATGTTGGTGTCAAGATGTGAATATGCAAGAGCAAGGCTGGATTGAGAGGGAAGATGTTGGAGTCGAAGACGGAGTTGCTGTTTGCAGAGGGGGAAAGCGAATCAAGTTCTACTTGAGAAGGGCGTCCGCTCCTGAGCATGCCTTTTAACCGTTGGGGGAAATGGCCCGTATCCACCTTGGCAGCGCCGCACGTTGTTCCAGTCACAGCGGCAACATTTTGTTCTCGCAGCAACGCAGTGAGCGTGATATCAATGTTGACCTTCTCTAACTTAGGGGCGTTGGTGCCGAGTCCAGAAATAGGCGCTGCCTGTGCACACGCTCAACGGAAAGCCAAATGGACCCTGAGCCCGGTAGCTTTTGTTTGGTAACTTTATTCAGACAAAGACGGTGAGAACCACGAAGGACTTAGAATCAGAGCGGAATTAGAAGATCCCTTTGTATCAGTGCTATACTTTGCCATTACAAGACATGATTGTCTAAAGGCCTGTGTCTGATGATTGAATGAATGATTCAATCATCAGATGCAGGCCTTTCAAGGGACTTCTTATCAATTCGCAAAGTTTGCGAATTGATAAGAAGTCCCAGGCTTGGCATGCGGTAGCTTTTACTCCCAGTCCACAAGTCCTGGACTGGGAGTAATATCTATTGATAGTCATTTTAGACTCGTCCGAAGTCTCACCCGCACGGCGCCGAGGAGTGCCATCCTCCCGGAAGGCCATCACATCGGGCCAGCGGCGGGTTGTCATGGTGCCAGTGCATCCCCGGGTAGCATATCGACGAGCTGGTAGTCTAACGCTAACGCCGTCAACCGCCTTTCCCTTACTGGACAATATACATGTCGACGCATACGACATCCCCCAGACCACGTTCAGAATCGGGAAACCCTTTCACGGAGATAGACGAAATCCTCCCGTTCAGAATCACGGGCGACACTGATATGTGTGATATGTATGTCCGGGAGCTATCAGCCCAATATCATCTCCATCCACCGGCTGCCCCAACAGGGATATCCCCGATATCCGATATCACCAGCGCACAGTCCCAACACCTCGAGCATCAACGACCCTTCATCTAAACAAGAGTAACTAGCCTCGTGTCAGACCGGTGACTCTTGTAGTACTGCTTCCCTCGAGGTGCGTACTTCCGAAGCACGCCCCTGTCAAGCACCAGCACACCAAGAACCCCCAACACAAACTGCCGTCCGCATGATCCGAGCCCATGTACCGCACTAACAACTCCCACGGGCCCCGTGCGGCGGGGACTCATCCCCCGTCAGCTACAGTCCCGTCCGCTCAATGAGGTAAGAGGTAAGAACTTTCTGATCCTCTGTGCCTGACCGGATCCCCAAGTGCGGATCCAAGTACCCTATGGCGCCAGTCCTGGGACCGGGACTGGCGCCATTTTGCTTTTTTTTTGTGATTTGTGGTTTGTGGTTTCTGTGGTCTGTGATCGAGCGTTCGGCAGATGCATACGTTCCAAGTCCCGAGGCGGTCGATCCTTCCTTTGGCAATTCAGGAACTGACAAGCAAGCGGGATATTAATCGGTTTTCGATCTCAAGTTCGCTCCGGCAGCAGAGCAGATATACACACATCTAAGCATATGAGCGTGAGAACTTATTATTCGACTAGCCAGCACACACGTGCAGAGTTCCTCAGCTGCCAGCGCCGAAGCCCGGGGACAGCAACACGACGTACGTACGTGTCCCGAAGAAAGGACTAGTACTACGTCGCGCCAGTCAAGCAGGACTGCAGGACTGTATATCTTTCAAACTTATAGCACGCACTTCCCCCCTGCCCTCCTATCCCCCATCGCTCATTACCCGTTCCTCATCCATCCATCTTTTCTCCCACGATAGCACACGAGCACCCGAACACACGAGTATCACGTTCACATTCCCATTCTCATTCCTCAGTCATCGCCCCACTCCCGGACAAACATGACAAAAAGCAAAAACATCAAAAACGGGAGGCAAGGTAGCAAGGAGCGCCAAATGGACAAATGGGCAAATTCTAGATTAGTTGGGTTCAGACGAAATGGACGAATAATACGAAGTGAAGAAGTGAGGGGAAGGGTAGGGAAGGAATGCAGCCATGGACCAGGGGAAGTCCTTGCAAGAACTCGAAAGTCGAGCGGATTCTGAAACGTTAGGCGAACGAGAGGTGGGGATTAAACGTCAATCGAGACCGGCAGGAGGACCAAAAAAATGGATCAACGCCGCTCAGCTCCTCTTCCTCGGGGTAAACTTCAACAAACACCCATCCTTCGGGAAGATAGTCGCTATAATCTCGACCTTCTCGCTGTCCTCCGTCTTCTTATGTTCCCAATCCATCAGCCCGCTCGCAGTACCGATGACCATAGCGATATGCATCAACGCGTATTCATAGCCGATGCACCTGTGCGCGCCAGCGCCGAAGATGAGGTAGTTCTTCGGGTTCTGTTCTGCTGTTCCGTTGGGGTCTAGCCAGCGTTCGGGGAGGAAAGAGCTGGGAGAAGGGTAGACGGATGGGTCGTGGCATGAGGGGTAGACGGAGGGGACGACCATGCTTCCTGCTGGGACTGTGTAGTCGGGGGAGATAGGGAAGGGCTGTGTGACTTTGTATGGGACCATGAGGACGGGTGGTTTGAGCCGGAGGGACTCTTTGACAGTCGCGCGGAGGTAGGTGCACGCGTCGAGTTCCTCGAGCGTGATCGGTCTGTCAAAGTCCCCACCCCGGATGCGCTCTTGCTCTTCGCGCACTTTGGCGAGCACAGCAGGATGATCAGCCAGGTGCTGGAAAGCGTAGATCAAGCCGGAGGACATGGCATCCTGCGACGCGAACAGGAAAGCGAGTACGACCTGTGCCATCTCCTTCTCGCTAAACTCTTTTCCTGTTGCGAACATCTCCTGACACCAGGCGTCCATGAAGCACCCGGGCTCTCCACCAGCGCGCATATGCACCTTGCTCTCCCTCGCAGCTTTGAGAAGGAACACCATCGCTACCTTGCGGGCTTGGATGGCGTTGTACACCTTTGTACCTGGGAGATGGAGTGGGAAGTTTACGAGTTCGAGGGCCTTGGTGATGAGCCAGTATTTGTCCGAGATGAGCTTCGCTTGCTCCGGGTCGATGTACCTTCCGCAGAAGACGCGGAGGGAAGTAGCCATGTTGAAGTACCGCATGGGGGTCATGACGCTCTGCGCCTCTTTGCTCGAGTCCTTGAGCCAGAACGCAAAGTGCTCACGGGCGATCGTGTCCTGCAAACCGAGGTAGAGGCTGAGGGACTTGCGCGTGAAGAACTGGTTGAGCATGCGGCGGTACTCGATGTGCACTTTGCCGTTGAGGAATACCCTGGGGGGTGTTAGCGGGTGAGGGGGAGGGGAGAGGAGTGGATGGGGAACGCACCAGTTGTCTTCCATCAGGATGGGCCTGGCAGCAGCGACGAGCATAGGCTCTGCATATGCGCCGGAGTTGAATATCTTCCTCGTTAATTCGTTCGCAGAGGCAATGACGATGAATCTACACGTGGTTAGAGGTGCATATACGCAGGTGAGATGGGCTGAGTGCGCACATGTTAAACACGCTCGTTGCGCTCAACGGACCCAACGCCCACTGTTTCTGATAATTCTCGAGGGAAGGATAGAGGGAGTTGACAAACTGGCCGATGACGGGTATGGTCCATGTATCTCCTGGGAGGAACTTGCGTTTTGTCCGCCATACGGTCTGTTCGAGTACGAGGAGGGAGAGGACGATGAGCGCGATGGATGCCCATATGTTTGGGGTAGTTACGGCTGAGAGTGAGAAAGGGAGAGAGAGGGGTATGTCGAGGAATGAGAGAGGGGAGGATTGGGCTGTTGGGAGTGAGGCGCTGTGTGATGCCATGATGGGGGGGATGGAGGGGGGGAGATGGAGGGAGGAGGAGGAGGAGGGGATGTTAAAGAGGGCGGGAATGGCGACGGTGACCGATCCACACAAAATCTCTTACAATGCCAGGCGTATGTTCTGTTCCCCATCCCGCCATCCATTGGGGAGAAACGTACGCGCTTCCCTCTCTTCCCACACAAGGAAGCACAACGCCGATTCCTCCGATCCGGCCCATTCCCTTTCATCAGCCAATCACACGCCTCCATCCACCGAATACCCTTGGTCACCGCCGGCCGAAATCGAGTTGCGTCAGCATAGGTGACCCGATCAGGTCATCCCACATCATTGTCACATTCCTTTTGGGTCTTTAATCTCATAGTTCGCATTTTCGCATTCTTCCCTCCTTGTCATTCTTCAGTTCTCTATTCATTCTCCTTCCTCATCCCTCCCTCGCTGGCCATCTGATAATACTCTGGGAACAAGAACGGTCATGCAGGGGTTCTTGAGGCACCTGAAGCTCTACTAGTGTCGGTGTGACGTAGCATGATACGGCGACCATCTTGCTGTCTCTCATTGGCTCTCTGTTATCTGTTGTCTGCTGTCTCTAGATCTCTGTTCTCGCTGGCGGCTCCGATCCTGTCTCTATCTGCTGGCATGCTCCCAGTTGGCTATATATGCCCCCTGGCACTGTCTCTGATCACCCAAGCACAAGCCCTCTCAGACTGTCGATGTCCTACTCCCAACTGATAGGAAGAGCACGAGGAATGCGACCCAACTCGCCCTCCTCTGGGAGTGACCGAGTGAAGTGCATACATCGTGCGCATCTCTCTTCTGGACGACCGTCTTCCCTCTCTCGCTGAGCTGGCCTCTATCGAGCAGGTCTCCCACTGTCCACAAGTGCACCATCCACATCCAACAAACAGTATCCAACATCCATCCCATAACCTGCACGCATCATGTCTAGCCCCCCCTCCCCACTACGCGTCCTCTTCCTCTCGGCCCTCCCTTCCCCCAACCCCACATTCTCACTCTGCACCCCCTCCCTCTCCTGTGGCAGCCCGATCACTCCCCCCGTCACTCCGCTCGGAGGAGACAACTGGGCAGCAGACGTCGCCCTCCCCTCTCTTCCCCCCAGTGCGGGTGCGGGTGTGGGAGGAGGTGCACAGTGGGTGCTGAGGATGCAGACCGATCAGGGAGTCGTATTCTCCAGCCCGTTCGCTCTTTCCCAACAAGGGGGGACAGAGTCCCTCTCAGCTCTTCCGAGTAGCACTCTCTCCCCTACCCTCTCACCCTCACCCTCACCCTCCGCAAGCCCAACCCCCCCGAGTCAATCCCTCCAAACGCTCATCCTAACCGGCACGCCCCTGCCCCTCAGCACATCCACACCAATCGGCTCACCAACCCCAACCTGCAGCTCCTCCCCCTCTCCCTCCTCCTCCCTCTCCCTCCCATCAACCTACGCCCTCCCGCTCGCTCTCTCCCTCTGCCTCCCGCTAGTACTGGCCATGTGTCTCTTCCTCCTCCACTTCTGTCGCCGACGACGACGTCAGGGAGGCGCAGAAGAGGGGGACTGTATCTTCCCCCCGAGCCCGCCCTTGGCAGCTATCGAACGCCTAGAGAAGATGGATAGGAGGCCGGGCTTACCACCGTTAGTCACCGCAGGGTCGGAGCTCACTCTGATAGGGCAGGAAGAGCCCGACCCAGAAGAGCTCAAAGACGTCGATCTCGAACATCCCCATCCCTCGAAGTCCGAGGCCCAGAAGCTGAAAGAGGAGAAATCCCTCCCTCCCCCTCCCCCTCCCTTAGCATACGAAGGCATCCGCAGAAAACAGCTTCAGCTGAACGAGATGGACCGCGCGCTCCTCCTCCTAGGGCGGGCGTTATCTGATTCTGCACTGTCGGCCTCGCTGGGGAGGGTACCGAGCTTGTTTAGGGCACGCTCGGAGTTGTCCGTCCCACGGGGGGCGGTGCTCAGGGGGAGTGCGGGAGCTGGAAGGCCGAGGGAGGTAGGCAGGGAAGGGAGGAAAGTCTCGTTCGCCCTCCCTTCTACATGTAGCCCCGAGGGTACGCTCTCGAGCTCCCTACCTACCCCTCCTTGCCAGAAAGCGTACGAACCCCGAAACCCGGTACCGGTACAGGGCCCGACGGCCGCAGAGGGGACTAGAGTGCTGAGAGGGGAGTCTCTGTCTTCGGAGACGTGGGGCCACCAGATGCCTTCAACATCGTGCTCGGGAGACGCTTTCCCCCTTCCTGTTCCTGTTGCCTTGCCTACGCCTTACGCTCTCCCGACGGCCCAGATTGGCCAACATGAGAGGGGGGAGTACTTCTCTTACTCCCACCCCGCGCCACTCCTAGGCTCCGGGTCCTTGCGCGACGTTACGACCGAACCGAGGCCTGTATCCGTCCCTTCTAGATGGGAAGTACAGCCTCCAACAGAGAGGCTAGAACGTGCATATACATGTACTTCTTCCCTCCCTCCGTCTGAAGGCAGCTTGACCCCCGAGTGCCCAGTTGGAAGGCCTGTGTGCTCGGTTGACCCGGCCACGGCTGCTCTTCCCTCGGGCTCGGAGAGGTATGGCCAGATCTTTGCAAACGCGGCGCCCTTGTGTACGCCTGGCGCGCTACGGACGGCCCAGGGCCAATCTGATATGGGGGAGTACTTCTCTTCCAATCCGGAGACGCACCCCCTTGGTTCCTCGGGCGTTTCTGCTATCCCCGTTCGTCAGGACCAAGCACTCTACAGTTCGTATAACCCCTATCGAGTGTCTGCGACTTCCTCTGGCCCTACATCGGCGTGCGCTAGCCGACCCGCTTCCACTCGCTCGGGCTCGTCAGCTTACGCTGAATCCCCATACGGACAACAGACCGCCCGGTTGCCGGAAATGACCAGTCCTACGCCGATCCAGCTGCCGTATATTCTTGCGGACGGGTGCTGTCGTGTGCATGTACAGGTGCCTCAGGTTGCGCCGGATACTCAGGTCACTCAGGAGTCGGGCCGGGGTTGCTATCATCATCACTCGCCGGCCCCGCAGCAACAGCAATCGCACCACCACACCGAGCAGCATTATCCGCAGCAGCATCCTATAATACAGCAACCAACCCGTCCTCGTACTCTCACTCCTCATCCTCATCCTCATCCTCATCCACAAGCCGCCCATCTCGCTCCGGCAGAAGGATACCCAATAGAGATCCTAGGACAATACCAGACGCCTATCCCTCCTCATGCTCAATGGATCGGAAACACCTGCTCTCCCGGCTGTCTTCTTTCGCAGGGGTTATCCCCGCCGAGAGTACAGAGCCCGAATGGTGCTGGTGCTAATTTTGGGTGCTGTGAGCGTGCTGAGCGGATAATGGACGGGAGCCGGATGATGTATGGGCCCCGGAGTTTGGGGAGGTGATTTGAAAGCACCTCCCCCTATGTAGTAAGCGTTCAGGCACACATTGAATATCGAGATCGGGATGACACAGATTGCCGGGCCAAGCGGGTACACACCACAAACAGTAACATATTCTCAATGCTTGTAATACGAATAGCAAGTAATATAATCAGCAATGGTATCAATTATTCATACCTAAAAAGTAGAAAATAAAGGTGTAAAGCCGACCTGCATCACATGCAAAGGGATATTCGACAACAATAGAACAGTAGTGTGGTTTTCTCGGTTTTCGTGAGGAGGACGGTTCCGACTCAGCGTCTCGGGTTGATGAGTCGGGATCGGAGGTGGACATGGGCGCAGTTACGCTTTTTACAGCATCAGGGCACCGGCGAGCAGAGTCGCGAGGAGCGCGACGGCAGACGCGGGGACACCGAAGCGGGCCATGGCCCCGCTCTTCGGCGGCGCGGCGGTCGGGCTGGAGAGAGGCGAGATGGGAGGGGCGATAGGGGTGGTAGGGACGGAAGGGGTGGTGCCTGCAGCAAAATGAGTGGATGGGAGTGAGAGGGTTGTGCGGCTTGTGTTGGAAGATGTAGACGAACTGCTGGATGAGCTTGAGCTGGAGCTTGAGCTTGAAGATGAGGAACTCGAAGACGAAGAGCTCGAGGAGCTGCTGCTGCTACTGGTGTTGCTGGAAAGGTTGAATGATCGTTAGCACTGGACGGGTCTTAGTGTGCGACAGACTCGCCTGGCCACGCCTGTAAGCTCGAACGCGTCGATCGTGATCTGCCCGTACGACCCGTGGCGGGAATCGAACAGGTTGCTGATCACAACCGTGTGGATGTCGAAGCTCAGGGTGCTGATACTGTACAGCGTAACGGGAAAGTCGCTACCAGTGCTGGTGGTGTTGAGCGCGTCGACCTGCGCGGTGATGGGGTTGTTGCCGTCGCAGTCGAAGCAGATCTGGTAGAGACCCGCATCAGAACGTTGGTAGCCCATCCAGAGAAACCCGGTGCTGCGAAAAGGTCAGCCGTTTCGTGCTATGCGTCGTTTTCGGTGTAAGGCGCACGCGGGGACGGAGAACGTGTACGTAGCGGTGGCTTCTGCAACACCGCTCGTGGGAGAGCTCGTGTTACCGCTCAACCCGGTGAAGTGGAGAGTGCCACCGAAGGCACCGATAGTGGAGCCATTCAGGACTGTCCACTCGCCTGAGGGCTCATAATCGATGAGCCTGTTGTGTATGTTAGTCGGACGAACTGGTATAACATGGGGCGTACGCACGGATCATTATCATCGACCATCAGGGTATTCTGTGCCAGAGCACTTCCGGCAAACGCTGCAAGAGCAGCGAGCACAACAGCAGACTGCATTGTTCTCAGCAGAAGTGGGCAAGTAAGCAATCAACAGGGAGGTTGAGTCTCTACAGGGATGGGAAAACGACGAGAAGAGAGAATGGGTTATGGAAAGTGCAACTTTCCTCGGTTCATATACTCGCGAGTCCATCAATTCTTCCGTGTCTCACCACCTTGTTGAATATACAGAGTAAAGACCCTAAGGAGTGCACCTTTGGAAACTTCTTCTGTGCTCTCGGCGTTTCGTCTGATGCAATGCCAACTCGGGCAGGGCGACATGGTTGTCTAGGCACGCGGGGAGGCCCCATACATGTTTGAATTGTTTCCTCGGTCAGCCCGAATGAATGTGCATCAGCATATATTGATCGGGGGCAATGCATTCGCACCGCCACGAGTGCTCGATCGAGAGGGTTCGCAGGCGTTGACATTTTTCCAAAGACTGTTGCTGTTATCTTCTGCTGGTTGAAGGGGGTGCTGTAAGCTGCGTAGCCATTTGGACAATAACATAGCAACCAATGTCAGTGGGTGTAGCTTCGTTGTCAGCGGGCGTTGTCAAGCAAATAACGGTGGTGGAACAAGTTCAAACGCGCGTCTCGCACGTTCTTTTGTCATGTTCCTGCAGAAACTCTTCGTGATTTGCTCATTCAACGCACGTCCCTTGCTATCCGGCGGAGATATGAGAGCATATGGGCACAACTTGAAGGCAGAGGAGTGTTTTGCCAATACATTTCGTCCAGCCCTTCAGTGAATTGGTAGACAAATACAATGGCTTGATGCGCAGCCCGTTGCACTTGAAAGGAGATCTTGGCCAGACCAAACAGCGTGATTCGATGTGAACGGTCCAGGGCATGGGTGAAAGAGGTGGATGTAAACGACGGGTTGGTTACAAATTTCGCAGTCAACGAAAGACCGACGAGACTAATAGGCAATCAGAATCTCCACGCGCCGTGGCGCTGACCCAAGTAAGGAGGGCGTGTTTACTTCCGTCGCCAGAATGAGTGGACCGTCTTGCGCATCCTCTTCCTTTCGCACTTGGTACTGGCTCACTGGTCATCCCTGCTGTCGTTGATGCAACTTACGATTATCCTCTTTACCTGCCCTCCAATACTCTCAGAGCGGACCACAGTCCGCACTGATCAACCTGTGCTCATTGTCTGATCCACAGCGACTTCACGCAGTTGCCACCATCGAGCAATATGCTCTAGAGGCAGGTGTGATGCATCATGCCGCCCCTCTCTCTCCTCATGTCATGTCGCTCACTGGTTCGCACACCAGTTGTTGCAGGGCATGAAGTAAGGTGCGCACTTTTTTGTACTTCTGGCACTGCCAAATACACGTTACTGACGTTGATGCTTTGAAACAGGTTTTCGGGCGCTGTCTGCGTTTTCGCATGGCCCTGCAACTGGTTTTTTCCTTGCGCCGCCACCCATGCAGCACTGATGTCGTGCCTGCTATATGCAATCTATCGTTTTACACCAGTCAGCTTGGGGCTGCCCATGGGGTTTTCACTGGTGACGACCAAACTTTCACACGTCAATGTTGGTGGTGTGTGTTTTTTTGGTAATCCGTGATATTCCAGCCGTATCAAAATGCCGAAAGTATTGGGAACAGCTTGAGGTTCGTCTGTCTAATCCTCTTTGCTTTGTCCCAGTATGCTGAACAAGCCCTTAGCAGTTCACATCCCCTATCGGACGGACGGATATAAATTTGTCATCTAGTGGTGCATCTGTGCAGCAATAAGTGCGTCTTGTTGCGCATGTCCTTTCCCCGTTTCTTCTAATGTATCTGTGTAGATCAATCGCGATTATCGTCCTCTGTTCTTGGCTTTGGTGCGTCCTTCACCGACGGGGAGTTCCCCCCTACCTTTTCCAGTGCTGACCAGGCTGCATCCAGTTGATCGGTCGACAATGGCGTGCTGCAGGTTTGCATGCACCTGATACTCGGGTACGATTCAACCTTGCCACCCTGAATGTTTGGACCGATATGGTAAGTTGACACAGCGACAAGCTCTTTGCCCTCAGTCACACGTTCCAATCAGGGACATCTGCGGTATGCATCGACTAACTCGGTTCAGGAACAGCCTAATAAATATGGCAACAGATAGTAGTCCCGTGTCTGCTGACGTCGCATTGCACTGACAGCTCTGGCCACCACATAGTCGCAAGCACAACTGCCTAAATTATTGGCGCTCGCCCAAAAGGGTCTGGGATCGTCATCAGGAGCGCGACAAAGGGAAGCAGAAGTGGTGTTGAAGTTGCTTCCGTGCACGGGGTATCATCTGCGTCCGAACACGATGCAGGTCGGAAGCAAACCTCTGCCGGTGTACGCCCCTCCCCAAGCGTGTCGTCGCCGTCGTCGCCGGTGCTGTCCATACTAGCCCTGTAAAGACGAACATAGAACATCATCAACCTCATTGCACTTTACCCTCACGACATCTCCATCCTCGGCGTTGATTTGCTGCGTAGGATGATATGCCACCGATCGGAAAATCGACCCAACCTGCTCGTGGCCCAGGTGGCAGAGTGCGCATCACCAACCGCAGTCGTCTTAGGATCTATCACGGATCTATCGATGCGGACAACGTTGTACTCGAGGAGGATGGGTCAGGCAAGGGCATGTCGACGGCTGGTGTGGACGCTGAGGACGCCAATGTGAGTAGAACGTGTCGTCGGGCGTTGTCCGTGCAGAGCGAAAATTGCGTTTGCAACGTGGAGGCCTCTGATTGGCTCGGACGATGCCGATATTTGTTCCCGCGGTCTGAGATCACATGACTAACGTTCGTCTGAAGGAACACCACTTGCAAGTTGTGCTTTCGCTCCAGACTCTGGATGGTGAACAGGGCAAGGAAGTTCAGAAAGCACACATCCCAGTACCCGATGCTACCGGCGTTGTATCCAATTATGAATCTCTATATGCCGGACCTAAAGGGCAAGATACGGAAGGTTATCTTAAGTGTTCCGACCTCGTCGATGAGACGCTTGAAGGTGGCTTTATCGACGGGTATACATATGACCTGGACGAGGAGGACCTTGCGTGGCTGGAGAAGAATACCCAAGCCGCAAAGAACCCGTACACCACAATCAATGGTGCCCGGTCGATGCGAAAGAAGCTTGGCAAAGACGGGACAGAAGCCAAGGACGCACCTCCGGCGCCGTTCAGCATTTCTGAGCCGGAATTTGAGCTCCTCATGGGCTTGTTTGACATGCTCTGCGACAACGTGCGACCGACTTTGCACGCAGATCTCTCGACCATACCCGTACTTGCGGACTTTGAGGAGACGCTCACCCATGAACTCGCAGAGTCTTTTTTTGCCATGTACGACCGACCGTCCAACCTTCCGACGCCAGAACAGGTGTGGCTCCTTGCACGAGCCATATATCCGCACTGGAAAGAAAGGAAGATTGAGCGCGAGGGCTTGCGAGTTATGGCCCAGCTCAATGTATGTGCTAACCGTGTCTTGAAAAGTATTATATTAACTCGCCCTGTAGACGGACGAGACGAGCGATGGAGATGCCTTTGTCTGCTTCCGTAGACGAGATCCCAAGCCCGTGCGGAAAACACGTCGGTCGGATACCTCTCAGCTCGATCGTATGGCTCGATTACTCGCTGAGATGGAGCAAGCCGAGGACATCTCTCACAACGCCCTTTTACGTGAACAAAAGAAAGGCGAGCAGCTCGACGCTGAGCACAAGGTGTTTGATGCCAGACGCCGCTTTGCTACCGTCCGTGTGCACCACCCAGAGTTCGGGAGTGTCATGGAAGACGAGAAGTATCTCTTCTCCAAGGACCCGACCGCTGTTGTTGCCCCCAAGTATGAAAGCCTTCTCCCTTTTGTCCTATCCATTCTGATCCCTTTCCCAGGATCTTGCTCACCGTTGGCGCACGGAAGTCAAGCTCGGAGGCAGGCTCACGCACTGCGGAGCACGGTGACGCCGATGCTGTTGAAGTTGTCCAGGCGAAATTCGAGGAGAATTACCGCAAACGCAAATTAGAAGACGACGGTTGGGACAACCGAACGGACGGCGCCGCTCAGCCTGGCTGGAAGCAGATAGGAGCATTCATGTTTTCCCGGGTTCCGCAAGTTCCTGTTCCACCGCTTGTCCCTCAGAAAGCTGCCAACGAGACGGAGCGCGAACGACCAACTGTGGGCTTTCGCACACGTCGTGGACGTGGTGGCTTCGTCCGTCTCGACCGTCTTCTTCCGCATCGTTCCCGTACTCCTGCGCAAGACAATCCCTTCACCCGCAAACCCCTTTCTGGGCCTGCCTTTAATCCTCAACAACGCAGTCCGTCAAAGGTTGCTCGCGATCTGGCGGGGGACGGACTCAGAACAGCGCCTGACGTTGCCGCGAACTTGAGCGATCCCAACACGCCATGGAGCACTATGTCTTCTAAAGAGTATGTCAAAGACAATTTCTTCAAGAACGGGCCTGTGTACAACAATCCGGAGATGGAATTGAACGGCACCAAGGTAGTAGATGACTTCGACCTATCGTACGTACATTCTGTTATGCATCCCCGTCAGTGGCTGAATGAACTGGCAGTTATGAGCTCTTCCGCGCGGATCTCTTTGATCCGGAACATCCTCATCCAGTTCGCTCAAATATGAGCTACCTTGCTCAAGCCCTAGACTACAACAGGGAGATCCGAACGAAAGAGCTCAAGGAAGCACCGTTGTTTGCGCCGTTCAAGGCTCCCACTTCAAATGCCCTCCGTCTCACGACCCACGCTAACAATGCTGCCACTCCAGGAACCGCCCCACCTTCCGCAACGCAGTTGCCCCCGAACGCCGCTAATATTGCTCGCGTTGGGCAACAAGCGCAAGCGCAGCAGGCTGCTGTTGCTCAAGCAATGTCGCAGGCAAACCAGACCCAACAGCGCTTCTCCCAACAGCAGCTATCGGGTACTGCTCGAGCTCCTCAGACACCAGTCAACCATGCTAGCACGGCTACATCTGCATCCCCAACCCCGCCCCGCCCTGCACCGCATCCCCAGCAGGCTCCTGTTCCCACTTCAATGTCAGTTCAAGCCATCCATATGCCAAATGGCAATGTCTCCAGCCAAACGAACAACACTGCGCACCCAGGGTCGAGCGTCTCGCCGGTCCAGCAGCTGCAATCCAACCTTCCTCTCAATGGCGACCTCAATCATGCTCTTCCCCGTCCGGCATCGGCGATGCAAGCTGGTGTCCAACGGCCACCGTATCCCGGTCTCCCGATGCCGCCAAGCGGCATGCCTGCCAACGGAATGCCTAACAGCATGGCAGGTTACAGGCAGGCGAATGCGGCGGCCGCGGCGGCATACGCTGCTGCCTATGCCAACAATCCCCAGATGATGGCAGCGATGCAGCAATACCACCGTCAGCTGAACGGACAGAAGAGTGCCTACGCCAGCTCGCCCATGGTCGGGGGTATGCCAATGCAGTATCAGATGCCAGGCAACTTCGGCGCGCTCGGTGTCGACGTAAACAATATGAATCTCTCTCTCAACTCGCAGAATATGCAACTCAAGCTGCCCTCTGGGCGCAATCGGCCGAATAACATGCATCAGGGCATGAACGGGATGGACATGGCAGGGACGTCGCAGGGGACGAATGGAGTCCCCTTCCTGCAGATGGGCATCCCACCTATCGCCCGTGTCCCCTCCGCCAACGGGCAAAAACATCTCCTCCCCGTGCCCATGCAGGACCCGAACGGCACTGGCGTGGGCGTGAACGGCCAAACATACATGCAGTACGCACTCCCGAGCACCTCTCCTATGCTCCAAGCCGTGGGTGTGTTACCCGTCCCGACGCCCATGCTTCGGCCGTCAAAGTCGCCTTTCGACCCAGCGAACAGCAGGCCAGGGAGCAGCTCGCCCCTATTGCATAGACCGCAGAGCGTGGCGAGATAGCCGCAGTGGTAGTGATCGTGCGCATGATAGTGGACTGGGACTTGTGGAAATTGTAGTCTAGGATTGTAGCACTGTCTTATTTAGTGTGTTCCCTGTAGTTTTGTCGGTTTCGGTGCAATTGTATCAATGCTCAATTTGGGGTTTCGAACTTTGAGAGAGTGAGATTGAGGCATCGAAGTGTGGCGTTCAGTCTGGAGTTCGACCTGGAACTCAACGAGCGTGTATGCAGAAACTTAGGAGCACGAATATCCATTAAGTGAAGGTAAGATGCGTGAACACAGGAAGTATCAAGCAACGGACAACGGGCAACGAAGGGAGGAGTCTACTCGCTCTCATCCTCATCCTCCTGCTCATCCTCGTCCTCGTCCTCATCATGCAAGAACCCGTTCTTCTTCGTCTCGTCTACCTCCTCATCGTCGTCGTCATCTTCTTCGTCAACATCTTCGTCATCCTCCTCGTCCTCTAGGACATCCTCCTCCTCCTCCTCCTCCTCCTCATCATCATCATCCATATCTACATCCCCCTCACTCCCTCCAAGCTCCACATCCTCCACGCTCCCCTCTTCCTCTCTCTCCAGCACCTCCCTCTCTCCCACATCCTCCAGCTCGCTCTCCCCCTCCACATACCTCTTCCCCCTCTTCTTCCCCGGGGTCAGAACGAGCGGAGGCTCAACCTCCCTCCTCTCTAGCTGGGAGAGTACGACTCCCAGCCTGCCGGAGAGGGTTAGCAGCCTGGGCTGGAGAGAGAGACGTGCGCAGAGGGTGGAATACAGTCCCGACAAGCGGGTGACCAATTCCGGTATCTTCCCCATGAAGACCAGGATCAGTACTTCGTTCGGTAATAAGGATGGAAGGGGCGTACGGTAAGCAAGTACGCAGAATGACAGACAAGGACTGCCCTGATCCACTCTACGAGCGCAGCGGCTCTCTCGCTCCCCGCTGCCCCACCTCCAGCTCCTTTCCCCCTAGAGCGGCCTAAGCGCTCCACACAAGCGTCCAGCAAAGGCACGGCCAATGCTGGAGGCAGGCGTTGGACGCTCTGCAGCACTATAGCGGGCTTGCGGTGTTGCAGGCAGGACTCGAGTAGGAGGGTGTCGGAGGAATGGAGGGATTGGGCAAGGATGCGGGCTAGGGATGTGGAGGGGATCGGGATTGGGAGAGGCTGGGATTGGGATTGGGAGGGGAGCGTGGGGTTGGAGGAAGGGGGCAGGAGGGAGCCTAGAGTTGGCTCAGCTTCTTCCGCCGCTAGAGAAGGGAAATCGAAGTCTGCAACTTCGGGCGCAGAAGTTCCACTCGTTACCGCTGTACGGAACTCGGAGTATCTAGGTTGTTTTGATTTGTGCTGACCGCCGTTGGCTGGGGAGGGTGGTGGGAGGAGGGGAGATGGCGATGAGAGAGTGAGGGAAGTGGAGAGGTGATGTGAGGCTTGAGGACGGGATTTGGTCCGTTTTTTGGTTGACATCTGAGGTGGGTTAGAGGTAATTAGGGAGGTGAATTGGAGGCTTACTTTGGGTATTATAGGATGGTGAGATGAGCACTCTATGTACTCTTATACTCCTCTCGTCACTTTTCATAAATTTCGCTGAGAGCGCCCAACAGGTTCCGTTTAGCATCCGTAAGAGTTACCCCGGATGAAAACAACGGAAGCGTTTAAATTGACCCCGCTCGGTTTCTCCCTTCCCTTCTAAGCAAGTCCCTCGTCTCCTCATCGTCTCCCTCACCGTCTCCACCGTCTCCTTCACCGTCTGCCATCCCCTCTTCCTCGTCGTCGGCCACCTCCTCGACGTCCCCCTCCTTCCCCTGTTCACTCCTTACACACCACGCTCATTACCCTCTCTACCATCCAACAAGATGTTCTCCCTAGCCCTTCTAGCCCTCCTCGTCGTCAAGGCCACCGCACAAGTGCCTTCCTCCATCTCCAACACCTGCGCATCCTACCTCACATCGCTCAACACCGACAGCGCACTCTCATCCTGCATCCAGCCTTTGCTCAGCGCCGCCTCCTCCTTCTCCCCCTCTAGCAGCAGCTCCACCTCCCAGCTCTCTAGCACCCTCACCACCCTCTGCTCTGCCTCCCCTTGCTCGGACACAGTCATCCGTTCCCACTTAACCAACTTCTACTCTTCTTGCCAACCAGAGCTCACAGCCTCCAACACTACTTCCGGCACAGCAGGCACCGCCTATGCAGAAGTACGCCAGTTCTACGACGTCCTGTACGTTATCAACCCTCTCCGTTCTGCCGTCTGCAGCAAGGACAACTCCACCGGTGCCTGGTGCGTCGAGGAGATCGCACACGATAATGCCGTAGCGGGGAACAACACCGGCGGCGCCGGGGGGGTAGTGAACGCCGCCGTCGCACCGTCAGAACAAGACAAAGCGATACAGCTCGCCCAGGATTACCTGTACATCTCCGCTCCTACGCTCGTCAAGCGCGCCGACAGTACCAGCACCACCTCCGCCCCGCTCAGCACGCCTTCGCCTTTGGCAGGGGACAACAACATCCTCCCCAACAGCACCACGTATGGAAGTACGAACCTGGCATTCCTCTTCCTCCTCCCTTCCCTCTCTAGCAACCTCCTGTGCACCTCGTGCACCCGCACGCTCCTCACATCGTACATCAAATGGGAAAGCTCCGTCCCCTACGCGCTCGGACTCTCAAACTCGCAGATCCTCGGTGGCCAAGCAGCGTTATGGAACGGAGTCTCCGCTACCTGCGGAACCGGGTTTGTCGGGGACGTAGAACAGGGTGCGGGCACGGTGCTAGGCGGCTCGCTGAGTGGTGCACTCCCCCTCTTGAGCCCAGAATGGGCAAAAGCAATCGCGGGGGTGGTGGCGGGACTGGCGGCGCTCCTGGCGCTCTGAACGGCCCTTGGACGTTGGTCGTTGGGACGCAGGGACGCACGGGTGTTATACCCATACCCGCCCGCTTGGTTTAGTTCGAAAGACTACATTATGAATCTACGATGATTGAGCTTGGCTTTTTTTGATATATTCTTCTCTACTTGCCTTCTTCCCTCCCCTCCTTCTCTGCTTAGCGGCTCTCCCTCCCTCTTCCTCTTCCCCTTCCCGTTCCGCCTCCCCCCCCTTCCTACGCTTGTAGCTTTTGCCTTCCTCTGCGTTTACGCATTTGCTCTACATACTCTCTATCGCGCGCGCGCAGGCTTGCGCTATACTTGATACTCGATATCTACAACCTTTGTCAATTGGGAATCGAATTCAGTTCAGATCACTGGAGAAATCAGATCAGGACTAACAGTAATCGCGTCCCTCCCTCCTTCTCTAGTTCCCCACCTATAGATTCTGGAATAGCAGAACTAGACAGGTTTATTGATTGCGTAAGTTAGGTTAGGGTAGGGTAGGTTAAGTTGTAAGGACTGAGCAGGGTGTGGAATGGGATATACGATGGGTAATAGTTGTCCTCCGGGGTATCGACATACATAGTACACTTACACGAGCATGTTGGTGCGTAAGGAAGGTGCTGGAATGTAGGTCACGAGAAACATGAATCCGGCCAAAAACAAAAGAAAACATGATTCCGGGGAAACATCTTGTCTAAATACCCGTACAACACACAAGGAAACCTACAATAGGTACACGAGACGTCTCGTGTTGTACAACATGAATCCGGCGAAACGTCCTGTTAGAGTACAAGAGTCGCGCCCTTCATGTTGGATCCCGCTCATGTGGTCTTCTCAATGACTTGCGTCCCAGTTGGAAGAGGTCTACAGATCTCGTCAGCAAATAATTTGGTTCTCGGAGATTACGCAGCTGATTCTGACGTCGCAATGACGTGAAGATGGTCCGTGCGACAGATCAGGCCAGGCTCGACGTCGGTCGGATAGACTTGATGGATGCATTTATGATCGAGTCGGTAGGAACACTAGTACATGGTCAACCGTTGCGGCTATAAGGAAAGAGGGAGATGCTCACTCGTGGATTTAGAGTGCGGACGCGGCCAGCGATTATCATGTTGTATTGATGTGCGTGCTGCCCAAACGGGCCTCGGCGAACGAGGCAGAATCCTGTCAATTCAGCACTCCTTTCTATTGGGAGCGTTGCTGAGATGATGTTGGATCGGGATCGGAGGGAGGAGAGTCGGGGGAAGAGGTTCGCCCCACGTCACGTGCAGGCTCGGTGACCTCCCGAAGGAGTACGATGCCGTTCCGGTCTGAGGAGGACCACGTTGAGATGTTTCGAGGGCCGATGGTAGGCGAAGCGGGCCTCGATGAACGAGGGACGAGACGTCGAGGGAGGAAATCGGCGTTGCATGTCATTGCAGAAGTTAGTACTTACTCTCCGAGCACACCGGGTTGCCTTTATATTAGGGAATTGATGCTTCCGTTGCTTTTGCTGTTTTGTGGTTTGTGATGGACAATAATACTCTGCAAGGAATGTAAACAAACGGCTTCTGACCAGGTTCGGGACCAAAACGGGTAATTATGATGAGGTAATCCTCTGTAAACTTGCTTCCGGTTAGATGCCGTTCTCTCGGCATTAACCCCTAACGAAACTTGGTTGGTATAACAACGTGACTGTTGACATCACGGCTATCCCAACGTTACTCTCATCCCCATACTATCCATGGCCGACCGAATTGATAATCGTTCCCAGCAACGCCGTAAACCTGAATTATCCGTTACTTGCGCAGGCTGAATCATTCCCCGGCAGTATGAGCTATGGCCCGGCTGCAGACTTGTCGACCCTAAAGAACGAAGAGCGAGCGATGCATATCGAGCTATGGACCTTTCGTCACAGAGAAGCTATGAGCGGAATCTGGGGAGAATCAGCGAGACACTTTCCCCCACCCAACACTCGACAAGACTCGGACGCGTGGGTTTGGTCGAGACTGGTTATCCGGAGACTGCCTATTCGTCTGTTTCAAGCTCTTGCGAATCTCCACGCTGTCATCTTCCCTACCTCCCTCGATGTGACCAACGTTGCCACTAGACGAACTCAAGAACCTCGCTGATGCTGTTTGGTACGACAGCGTGTTCTTCCTCACCCTCGGGTCGTTCCAGTCCACCTGGAGAACGGCATACGAGTGCTGTCCCTGAAGCCTGCCTTCTTCCCCGCCGTAGGAATTTCTGACCTTGTCCTGTTTACCTGTGCAACGGCACCGAACAGTATGGTCCTTGCCTCTGGAAGAGCGACTGCCAGACTAGGAGCAAGTGTGGTGTGTTCACCATCGTCATGTTGTCTGCTCGGTCGCCAGATCAGCATCATCAGTGCAACGTATGGACTGGCGAGCGGCATCAGCTATCTTCTGGGGGATACATCTACTGACACCGTCGCATGATGCTAGTGCTTTTGCTCAGCCCTCTTGTCCGAGGCCTTGGAGCAGCCATCACACCGCCTTCTTCTCCACCTGCCTCCAGGGCAAAGCTAGTCCCCGCGAGCTAGAAGCAGGAATTGCTCCAGATGGGACCTCTGCGAACGTACATGATCATGCGTGCACTAGCAGTGAGGAACATTATCTTCCTCACTAAGAGTATCGTCATCATCCTCTGTTCCATTCCGATATCCAGTCAGGTTCCGTGCCCAACTCTGGCGTTCTCAACCTTGCTCTCATGCTTGGAGTCTCACTCTTCACGTTGCTCGCTGAAACCCTGTGATGTATGGGGATATATTTTGCACCTGTGTACGTCACTACCCGTCAACCGAGCTGTGCACCTTCTGTGACGGAAAGCAACGAACATGAAGTGCGGAAATCAGCGATGTACTCTCCAATACGCAACATTCGACAAGACGAGCGGTCTTGGAGACCTCGACACTGCCTATCCGTCCTGATTCAAGCTCGTGGCGATTCTACACGCTCTCATCCTCGCTGCCTCCCTGGACTCGCTCGAGATGATCATCGTTGCCACCGCCATGCCGCGAAGAACAGATGGCTTCAAGACCATCGCTGGCGCCGGTTGGTTCGGCATCGCCTTTTACCTCAACCCATGATATCCAGCGTCCCAAGCCACCCGAGAGAGTGTAACTTTGTACCCAAACCTGCATTCCTCCTCGTCATCGGAGTATTCGAACCTGGACCGCTCCTCCATGCTGCTGCACTGAGCAGAACGGCACTCATCATTAGACGACCGACTACCGGAATAGAAGCAAGCGGTGGCTTCGCTCGCGTATACACTCTCGTTGCAGTCACTGCCAGGCCGGAGTCATCCTACATTGCCACTGTCTTTTGAGCCCATTTTCGAGGGTTGAAGATATACAGTTTGAGAAGGCTGACTTAGGCTGTATGGTGGGTTGCGAAGTGTTTGGTCTGGGTTGTTGGAACAGGATTGGAGGTGTAACAACTCCTATCCTCCTGGTATGGTTTCCAAACGTGAGGGTGGGTGAGTTGGGCGATGTGTGATTGCTTATGTGGGATATACGGCGATATCACCTGAGGTATTTCCAAGTGATACCTCACCTTTTCACGAAGAAAGAGTGCAGCCGGGCAGAGAAGATGTTGAACTGGATGCTGAGCTGTGTTGGCTGGATTTTGATTGCCTGTGACCGTGGACAATTTTCCGGCGTAGATAGCACCGCGTCCGACCTCTTTGGCACAACCGATCACAAAGGAAATCAAAGCACACAGGACGATGGTAAGCATCCCTACGAGAGACTGAAGAGGCTGACTCGACCGGCCTTGCGTTGATTGGCCATGATGAGCAGAGGGTGAGTAATAGTGACTCGACCCAAGTTGTTCACGTGCTCGGCGCGTCGTGGTGCCGAACGAAGACGCCTGATCAGTGGTGATCGAACGGCATTCCTTTACTTTGAACAGTTTTACTTGTTATTGTCTGTGATATCAGCAATGGAGATGTGTATTAAAGTCGCTCTTGACAGGGTAGGATTGTCTGCATTCAACTCTTCTGGACAGAGATCAGCATGACCGCAACAGTCGATACCACCGGTGCACTTGCCTCTGCAAGTATAAGTCGGGAGAACACACTCGCCGAGATACCTCTCTCGGAACTCAACAACCCCGAGAATGATGGCCAAGAGAACAAGCTGCTTCCTGAGGAGCTCGATGACCCAGCGTTGGAGGACGAGTACCCGATTGGGTTCAGGCTTGTTGCCATCCTCATCGGGTGTATCGCTGCCATGTTCCTTGCCAACCTGGACATGGTATGTCCTTCTCACTAAGCACGCAGGGTTACTAACTGGGGAGCAGACGATAGTAGCGACAGCCATCCCACGCATAACAGACGAGTTCCACTCCCTCTCTGATGTAGGGTGGTACGGTTCTGCTTTCTTCCTCACCGTAGCTTCGTTCCAGAGCACCTGGGGCAAAGTGCTCAAGTATTTCCCACTCAAGGCTGGTGTCATCGGTGCAATCGCGGTGTTCGAGCTTGGTAGCTTGGTATGCGGTGCGTTCTCCTCTCAACCTACTCGTACCTGACTCATGCCGTACAGCTGTAGCACCAAACAGCGCAACGCTCATTGTAGGCCGCGCCATAGCCGGTCTCGGCGCAGGCGGCATCGTAGCTGGAGACTATACGATCATCGCCTTCTCTGCTCCTCCTCGGCGACGTACACTATACACCAGCTTCCTAGGCATCACATACGGCATCGCGTCTGTTGTCGGTCCGCTTGTTGGAGGTGTCTTTACCGACAACTTGACATGGCGCTGGTGCTTCTGGATCAACCTCCCCATAGGCAGCTTCGCGGCACTCATCATCTTCCTCTTCTTCCACACGCCCAGTGCAGCCAAAACTGTGGAAGCAAGCGCATGGGAAAAGCTCCTCCAACTCGATTTTCCGGGCACGTTTACCCTCATGGGTGCGGTGGTGTGCTACCTCCTCGCTCTGCAATGGGGGGGCGCGACAGTCCCATGGAGTGACCCAAAGACATATGGCCTGCTTGTCGGGTTTGGTTTGTTGATGTTTGCGTTCGCCCTGATCGAGTGGAAGATGGGCGAGCGGGCAGCTGTGATTCCCCGTCTTCTCAGGCAGCGCACAGTGCTATTCTGTTCCATCTACGACGCCTTGTCAGTCCATTCCTCGTCATCGATTATAAAACTCACACTGCCCCAGCCTACAAGGCGGGTTTTTCCTCCTCGTTTACTACATACCCATCTACTTCCAATCAATCGACAACACCTCTGCCGCCCTCTCTGGCATGCGCAACCTCCCGCTCATCCTCTCTCTCGCCATATTTCAGCTTCTTACGGGGACACTCACCCGCATATGGGCGCAGTACGTTCCCCTACTCATAGTTGGTGCCGCTGTAGCCACCGTAGGCGCTGGCCTGCTCTGGTCCCAGGATATAGGCACAGGTGCGGGGGAATGGATAGGCTACCAGATCCTGGTCGGTGTCGGCGTAGGGATCAGCATCCAGATCCCTGTCGTTGCTGCCCAGTCAAGAGTGCCCGTCTCCGACCTAGCACCGGTAACAGCCATGGTGATCTGTACGTCCTCTGCTCCCCCCTCCTTTCCCGTATCCTAGCTAACTAGTACCGGGTGCCCATGTGCAGTCTTCTCCACCTTAGGCAGTGCAATGTTCATCTCTGCTGGCCAGGCCGTGTTCTCCAACACGCTCATCTCCTCTCTCGCCCAGACAGCGCCAAGCGCCGATCCTCTCCTCGTCATCGGCACGGGCGCAACCTCCCTCCAGCAAGTCTTTGCCCCGGACGTCCTGCCAGGTATCCTTAGAGCTTACATGGATGGGCTGAAAGCTGCTTTCGTGGTTGCAATTGCTGTTCTTGGGTTGGCAACGGTATCCGGTGTGTTTGTAGAGTGGAAGACATTCGAGAGTGCGAGGGATGATGAGAAGGATGGGGATGCTTAGATACTGTCTTTCTGACCGGACGGGAGATAGGATATGCCTCGTACGACTTCCTTGATAATCACTGAGCGAACAACATCGGCTGTTTGCATCGAATAAAACACTGCCATTCTTGTACTGTAAATAGATGCGTGCCAATCCTAGATTCACACTGCTCGTTTAATATGATAGATTGGCTATGCTTATCCTGCATTCAATTCCGATCAATGGGTGAAGTGAAGTGTTGCCAGCATGACCGACTACAGGCAAAATGACTCTCCAGCTTTTGAGCGTGGATGCCCTCTTAACAGGCATGAGCTCATGTTGTTCGACTGCACCAGATTCGAAGATAGGACCAAGGCGGGCATAGGCGGGCAAGGTCTCTTTGCCCGCCTCAAGAAGCTCACAGGTGTTTCTGACGTAGGCGCAGTGGTAGGACCCTCCCGCGTGGGGCTTCGGTGGGGCTTCGTCAGCCTCCATGCATGCCATCTAGTCATCATTGAGAGTAGCTGGCTTGATCTTTGGTGCAGCATGAGTCACCTGTCAGAGTTCAGCTAGAGGAGATATCAGCGAGAATGTTCGATCGTACGGAGAGTGGGAATAATTGGTGTTAGAGAAAATGATGGATGTCAGCTCATGAATCACATTAGCTAATCCAATCACCATTTCATCCGTGGACAGTGGACCGACGGACGAATGGGCATGCCCCACCAGCGCGTCACCCAGGGTCTGCGTGGATGCTTCTATTGCGGCGCGTCCACGCTGATCGACTATTTTTCATGCGAGTCACCGACTTGGGCCAGCCCGAGCCAGAGATATTCATCACACCTACATGCCCAGACCAGTAGACGACGCGTGCATTGACAGATAGCATTCCTACGATCAAAAGATTGAGGTCACTCAAATTATTTCGTCATGACTTCAATCACCTTTTTATCCATGACAAAGACGTGTGGGTGCCCCTTCTTTTTCCATGCTATAAAATACTCCACCATCTCGGTCGATTCTCTTGGGTCTAAATCCCTTCCCTCTCTCGCACTGTATCAATATATCAACAATGACTGCCCCGAACAGTACCACATTCCCTCCTCTTTCTGGGCGATCATCCATGACCGAAAACACGCTTGCGGACATTCAATTGCCCGAAAGTGGTGTGCCGACAGAAAAGCCGCCCCAGGGGAGCGATGACGTCCAGACAACAGTAGTCGAAGTTTATTACCCGTCTGGGTTCCGATTGGTTGCTGTCGTGGTTGCTGTCGTTGCAAGTATGTTCCTAGCCGCCCTAGACATGGTACGTCAGTCCTCTGAAACTATCGGTGTCCAAGTCTGAATAGCGAGTACTTAAGACCATCGTTGCAACTGCTATTCCAAGGATTACAGATGAGTTTCATAGTCTTGACGACGTCGGTTGGTACGGGTCGGCTTTCTTCCTCACTCTGGCGTCCTTCCAGTCCACATGGGGAAAGGCATTCAAGTATTTCTCGCTCAAGTATGGCGTCCTGCTCAGCATAGCCATTTTCGAGCTCGGTAGCTTGATCTGCGGTACGTTGCAGCCTGAGTTTCGATTGCTTGTACTGAGTATTGTTCACAGCTGTTGCGCCAAACAGTGTCACGCTCATCATAGGCCGGGCAATTGCGGGTCTCGGTGCAGCTGGCATTGCATCGGGTGTATACACGATCATCGCATTTGCCGCTCCCCCTCATCGTCGACCGGCGTACACGGGTATCCTGGGCGCTACCTACGGTGTAGCTTCAGTAGTCGGACCGTTGCTGGGTGGCGTATTTACAGACCGACTCACCTGGAGATGGTGCTTCTACATCAATCTCCCCATTGGCGGCTCTGCTGCAGTCATGATCTTCCTCTTCTTTCAAACGCCGGAGGCTGCCAAAGCCGTGCAAGCAAGCGCCAAGGAGAAGTTGTTGCAGATGGATTTGCTGGGAACGTTCACCATCATGGCCGCAGTCATATGTTACCTGCTCGCGTTGCAATGGGGAGGTGTCACCCTGCCATGGAGCAATCCGAATGTCTATGGGCTACTGATCGGTTTCGGGCTGCTTGTCATTATGTTCGTGGTGCTCGAGTGGAGAATGGGTGAGAGGTCACTCATCTTACCCCGTCTCCTGAGGCAGCGAACAGTGGGGATCGCTTCTGCCTTCATATTCTTGTGAGCCATCAGCACAAGTTGTTTGGAAGAGATCACTCACGTTGCGCAGCCTAGGAGGAGGCTTTTTCCTCCTCGTCTACTATGTTCCTATCTATTTCCAGAGCATCGACAACGTCTCCGCATCCGAGAGCGGGGTGCGCAACGTGCCACTCATTCTCGGAGTGGCGATCTTCTCCATCCTCTCAGGGCATATCATCAGCTGGTGGGGCCATTATGTGCCTCTGATGGTCTTCGGTGCCTGCCTCAGCACAATCGGGGGCGGCTTGCTCTATACTCTTGATATCGGCACCAGCACAGGACAATGGGTTGGATATCAAGTCATCGCAGGTGTCGGCATTGGGATCGCTATCCAAATTCCGATTACCGCTGCTCAAGCTCGAGTACCCATGTCTGATCTGGCTCCCGTGACGGCTACCGTGCTCTGTAAGATCATCTGCTCTGCAGTTGAGGATGTGACTCACCTTTTGCGTGCAGTTTTCCAGACCATCGGTGGGGCCTTGTTCATCTCAGCGGGTCAGAGTATCTTCACGAATCAACTGCTGAAGACGGTTGCACGGACGGTACCAAGCATCAACCCAACGCTTGTCATCGCGACTGGTGCGACGGACTTGCACTCAGTGTTCTCGGCAGATGTGCTTCCAGCGATCCTACACGCATACATGGACGGGTTAAAAGACGTATATGCGCTGGCTGTCGCTTGTTTGGGCATAGCGGCCGTCTTCAGCGTCTTCGTAGAATGGCGGAATATCAAGGGCCAAGCGGTGGCAGGTGCGGCTTAACTTTGCGCATAGACAGACGATAGCAATGTAGAACCACGTTCTATTTGAGTTATCGACACTAGAGCCTCACGTGTAAGAATGTAGAAGATGGCCAACCTAGTTAATGAGATAACAGCGTACAACCTTCAGAGTGGGGTAACACGGGACATCAGTCGGGTCCGAGATGGATCTCAGGAAATTTGAAGGGGAAGAGAACATACGGGTTCCCCGACACAGAATCCGGAATCCGGAATGGAAGAATCTGCATAGCCACCTAGCCATAGATACGATGGTACAAACCGGAAATACTCCAGTCAAACAGTCATACAATACAAAGGATGCATCTACATCACGGGTGAATGTTCCATTTGTTATAGCTGGATCGTGCTTGCAGTCTCCAGGGGGAGGCGAGAGTCCATCCAGATTATGCTACATACTTCGCTGCTTGATCCCCGCGTGGCCTTGGTTGAACGAGGTAGCATCCTGCAAAGCCAGGATGCTCTTGCAGATCGGGGGCGGTGTTAGACAAACTTATACCTTACCAGTGAGCTCGGTGCCTGAAGCCTATTCCGGGATCTTGACGAATTTGAATGGTTTGTTCGAGTCGACCAGTGCTGGAGGATATTGAGTACTGGAATACAGTCAACATCAGTGCGGCGAGTGAATGGCGAGTGAATGGGTGCTCAGCTAGATTTCAGAGCGCACAGGTCGGGACATGCGAGATGTTGAGGTGGAGGCAACAGCGAGGGAGGAATCGGTTTCCCGTTTTCCAAGTCCTAGAAGAAGTCAGTACTCCCCGAGCACACCTCGGCGAACGAGCCAGAATCCCACAAAGCCAGGATGCTTTCAACTCAGGGGGAGGGGAGCGGGGTTTAAGCAACCTTACCCGTTGCTGAAGTCGGTGCCAAGCTTGTTCCGGAGATTCGTGGTCGTTTCGGTGTCTTGTTCGCGTCGAGCCTGGACGAGTGTCGGGGAATGTTGAATACTAGGACATATTCAGTAGCGCTGCGGGGAGGGAATGGATGGTCACCTAGATTCGTAGCACATGGGATATCAGGAGGGCGATGAGTGGGGAAGGAATTCGCGCTGTTCACGTGGTAGAAGTTAGTATATAGTCCCCGAACAGGCCTCGGCGAGCGAGGCAGCATCCTGAAAAGCCAGGATGCCTTTCGGCGGGGACGATTCTAAACAGAGCCTGTATATGTCAGCACCGTTATGGAGATAGGTATACTCACATCGGGTTGACTCGTCCCTCACACGTTCTCCTAGACAAAGAAGATAAGGATGCGGCAGGACACACATGTAAGTACTCACTTCAAGTTCTACCTCCACGGCAACACGCGCCGACCACGCGATACCTTTGTCAATCTGCCCTACTAGAAACGAGAATTCAGCGATCATCGGAGATAAAACGGAGATGCGTGCGAAACTTCCTCTCCCTGCAGCTCCTTGCGTTTCCATTCGCGGCCTTGCGTCGTCGGGAGGGTCGCTCGTCGTCAGATAGCGTCGAGTAGATATTCCGAAGTGGATGTGTCGTCAATCTGGAAACTACAGGAACAATCAGCCCGATAAGATCGCGGGGTATATTCACCTACGGTGCAGTCTGGAGCACGGGCGTGGCTCGAATTGCGGGTGTCGTCGCGCCTTTCATGCTGGATTGCGTTCATGTCGTCCAGTCAATGACTTGCGTCCCAGTCGGAAGACATCTGCAGATCTCGTCAGCAATTAATTTGGTGTGTGGGCATGACCTAGCTAATTCTGATGTCGTGATGATGTGAAGAGGTTCCGTACGACAGATCAGACCAGGCTCGACGTCAATCAGATAGTCGGGGGTGGCACCGCGAGCCTACATATATATGATGAATGTTGTCGGGCGGTTGTTCGCAAGTCCTAGATGTTAGTACATCGTCCCCGAACAGACCTCGGCGAACGAGGTGGCACCCTGCAAAGCCAGCGTGCCTGTCGGCGGGGACGAGTTCTTAAACAGAACATGTATTACGAAGATCAGTGCTGGGCATGTCCGGGAGACTGCGTATGATCTCTTGGTTCCATCAGTCTTCTCTTCAGATGTTGCAGTCGAGAGATCCTGTGACACGAATGTTAACACCGTCATGATGGTAGCTGGTACTCACACCGCAATGATTGGCCCCGTAGATGATTGTCGACCGGGTGTTGGCAAATCCTAGAAGTTAGTGTGTAGTCCCCGAACAGACCTCGGCGAGCGAGGCAGCATCCTGAAAAGCCAGGATGCCTTTCGGCGGGGACAATCTTCAACTGAGCCTGTATGATTCCTCAGATCAGTGTTAGGCATGTTTGGGAGCTTGCTTACAATCTCTCGGTGCGGAAAAGCTGGCTTCTTCGATCTGTCTTGAGATGTACTGTCCAGGTCGAGGGAGGAAATCGGCGTTGCATGTCATTGCAGCAGTTAGTAATCTCCGAGCAAACCTCGCGAACGAGGTAGCATCCTGGAAAGCCCCGCTGCCTTTATATTAGGGATTGACGTTGCTTTTACTGTGTTGTGGTTTGTGATGGACAAGACTCTGCAAGGAATGTAAACAAACGGCTTCTGACCAGGTTCGGGACCAAAACGGGTAATTATGATGAGGTAATCCTGTAACTTGTTTCCTTCCCACCCGATCCGGAGCCGATCGGCGATTACGGGGTCAATAATAGGGTGTGCTTATAAGATCCAACGCTTTGCCAAGACTTGTTTACACATCATTTCTAGGTCAGAGGCTTGGCCTGTGTATCGGACTGTACATTCATCCTCTCACTTACTGGCAATACCTTCACTGGTCTGGTCGTGAAGAATACTGTCCTTCGCTCTTATCTTATGGCCGATGGGCTCATTCCTTCTGTTGTGGAACTCTCTCGATGCTCTGATATGAGCTTGCTGTTGTCCTGGCCCTGTCTAAGCATTGTACAGCATAGTTGTCGGCAAGGGGGTTGGGAGCTACTGTGGCAAGTCTTCTGAGGAGTGCCGAGTTTGGATGGCTATAAGAGCAGTTCTGTTGACGGCGAAACGGTGCACCAAAACAAAGCGCGAGTGGAGACGCAGTCCTCCGTACCAGCATCTACCCAACGTCACCTCTCTTCCTTTCAGCATAGGAACAGCAATCGGCACCTGACATGGCATCAAACAGCACGAGAACCGTTGATATGAAGCAGCTGGCACCTGCGGAGATAGTGCCTTTACCCCGCAGGACGAGGAATGACCTGACTTCAGAGGTGTCGACGATAAGCGAACGAAGAGCGATCGACACGGAACAACCGAGCTATGCACCTTCAGCCAGAGAGAAGGAACCTGCAATAATCCCGGAGAAACAGGCACGCACTCTCCCTGGCCCAACATTCGACAATGCAAGCCGGTTTGGCGAACCAGATACCGTTTACCCGTCCTGTTTCAAGCTCGTTGCCATCATAAGCGCTCTTATCCTCGCTACCTCCCTCGGCTCCCTCGATATGACCATCGTTGCTACTGCCATCCCGCGAATAACAGATGAATTCAAGAACCTCGCTGACGTCGGTTGGTACGGCAGCGCGTTCTTTCTCACCCTTGGGTCGTTCCAGTCCACCTGGGGAAAAGCCTACAAGTATTTTCCACTCAAGCCTGCATTCCTCCTTGCCATTGGGATTTTCGAGCTCGGCTCGCTGATCTGTGCAGCTGCACCGAACAGCACGGCGCTCATCATCGGACGAGCGATTGCCGGAATGGGAGCAAGCGGCGCGTTCTCCGGCGTGTATACTATCGTCGCATTCAGCGCCAGGCCAGAGCATCGTCCATCCTACATCAGCATCATCGGCGCAACGTATGGCCTAGCGAGCGTCATTGGTCCCCTTCTGGGTGGGGTCTTCACCGAGAAACTCACGTGGAGGTGGTGCTTCTGGATCAATCTCCCGATCGGTGGCGTCGCGGCAGCGATCATTGCCGTCTTCTTCTCTACCCCTGCGGCGGCCAAACCAGTCTCCGCGACTGGGAAGGAGAAACTGCTCCAGATGGACCCTCTGGGGACGGGCATGATCATGGGTGCGCTGATCAGCTACCTACTCGCTCTGCAATGGGGCGGGGTGACCCAGCCTTGGTCAAGCAGCACCATCATTGGCCTGCTTGTTGGCTTTGTGTTGATGATCAGTGCTTTCATCGGCATTGAGTGGCACATGGGAGAACGGGCTATCCTTCCCCCTCACCTCTTCAAGCAACGCACTGTCGCCCTCTCCGCGGGGTACATCTTCTTCCTCACCGGCGGATTCTTCATTATCCTCTATTTCCTCCCCATTTACTTCCAATCTGTGGATGGCGTGTCTGCGTCCGACTCTGGGGTGAGGAACATCCCCCTTATTCTTGGAGTCGCACTCTTCACCTTCCTCGCTGGGAACATCGTAACCCTATGGGGACATTTCGCTCCGCTTCTCGTGATCGGTGCTGTGTTGGCAACAATCGGCTCTGGCCTTATCTATCTCCTTGACATTGGCACTCCATCTCCACAATGGATCAGCTACCAAGTCGTCGCAGGGGTTGGCATTGGGCTCGGCCTTCAGATACCCATCAGCGCCTCTCAGGCTATGGTTGACGTGAAGGACGTCGCACCTGTGACGGCTATGGCCCTCTTCTTCCAGACGATCGGAGGCGCGTTCTTCATTTCTGCTGCTCAGGCTATCTTCGCCAACCGTCTGCTTGCCGTTCTGCCCAGTTCAGCGCCCAGTATTGATCCGGCCTTGGTTCTCGCCACAGGGGCAAGCGAGCTCAGAATAGTATTCCCCCAAGAGGTACTACCAGGCATCCTCAGGGCATACATGGGTGGTCTCCAAGCAGCGTTTGCCTTTGCTATCCCCCTGTTGGGCCTCGCCGCCTTGCTCAGTATTTTTGTCGAATGGAAGAGTATCAAGGGGCACGCCGCTGTTGGGGCGGCTTAACTCTTACTTTTCCCCTGGTTCACACTGGGCGTAACATCGTAGATACATATCGAGTCCGTAATCACTGGCACACTAGGCACCATGATGTTGATACAATGCACAATGCCAATGCGACGTTATGGCAATGGAGTGGAATATCAGGGTAACAAGGCACAAATGGAGTTAATACTGGAGTTACTCAGTTATATTTTACAAACGATGCATCTATATCACCAAATACAGTGCGAGTAAGAGGAAAGGCTATAATATCAGACCTATCCATACAGTACCAGAGAGTCAATATCCCAAAATAGAGATCAGTGCGAATTAGTAGGGTCCATTTCAAATAACCGCAGAATAGTAAGAAGATCATCTGAATATCAACGGTGAGGACCTTCCCCAGCAAATGGACAGACGCTCACTTTGGCGTAAAGGCTTGGTCAGAAAGTATGTCATGCCCGCCGATAAGCATAGAAGTTTTGTTGAGTCCTGACAATCCGCAGACACAGCAAAGACTCCAATAGAGTGTGAACAGTCATCAACATCTACGTGCTGGGTAACAACTCACTGACTAACGGTCGTCGGACCTTACGCCTGTTCTCTAATGCTCTCAGACGCTTTGTTGCTTCCACACCGTCCAGTATTGGCATGTCTATGTTCCGGATGTTCAACCGGATTGATACCGTCCTAAGAGGAACTGCTTACGGTGGTCAAAGAGAGCTGCAGTGAAGTAACCAGGTGGATGCTTCTCCCATAATTGAATCGCTTCTTCACCATTGTTTGCTGCGGTCACCGTCAAGCCGTGCCGTTGTAACTGCCTTACGAGAAGATTCCGCGCGATCGGGTTGTCTAGAAGTTCTCTGTGAGGTATTGAAATTATTCAATGTAGAAGTACTGACCTTCTGCCACCAGGACATTTCCAGCATATGCGACCGAACGGGAGGCTATATCGGCTGATATCTTGTTACCGCGGAGACCATCTCTCAGGGTAGAGCCGTTCGTGTAACCGCTACGAGCATCCCACATCCTTGAGAGTATTCGAAGGAACTTCTGTGTACGGGCCGGCTTCGCCATTCTAGCGATAAGGCCGCCATGGATATATGTGTGCATTTCGGGGGCGACAGCTTCGATGGCGACACCAGCCTTAGCGCCAGGTCTGCGGTTGAGGAAGTCTGCTGACGGAGCACAAAGATGGATGATCTTTGCGTGACTTAAACTAGGATATTCTTGGAGGAGATGGGCAATGTCGTCGATGCGGGCTTCCGCGTGTTCATCAACAACCACAAATTCCACACGGTCCTTCTTCATGCCAGCATCCCTGAGGAATATATCCGTATCTTCCGTGCTATTACAGACCAGAGACTTCACACCGATCAACGCAGCCTGGAGAAGATCCCGAGTGGTGTCGGTCGGTGAAGAGAGAAGAACCATGGCGTCGGAATTGATGAGGTTTAGTCGGTATGCTTGCATCAGGGCCTTCTCTTTCGCGGTTTCTGCAGATTCGTGTATGGTGACGGGAATTCGAAACCAGAACTGCGAGCCTTTGTCCAATTCGGATGAAACACCGACATCACCATGCATGAGCTTCACTAGGGAAAGACAGATAGATAATCCCAGACCCGTCCCGCCGAATTTGCGTGTCGTAGATTGATCAACTTGACTAAAACGGGTTGCCAGAGATTCTTCATGTCGTGCGGAGACATG